GAAAAAAGGGCTACAAACATCCAATAGAAAGGAAGAAAAGAGAAGAGGAATATGCAAATCGATTACGGAAAATGTGTTCATCGTCGTCGTTGTCGATGAATGAAATCAGTATGAAATTCCAGCGCACAGCGAAAACTTAATCAAGAGCAAGAAGTGCATCGAAATGAGCGCAAATTAAATGATGAAGAAAAGAAGGAAAAAAAACAACTGAAAGAAAGTGGGCTCGCTATACAGGATTTAATAAAGAAACGAGATCAAACAAAAGCCACATTAAAATTTTCCAGCAAAAAAGAATTTTTTCCTTCACTGAATCCCTTTCTTTACGCCGTCTCTGATGAACGGAGCAGAAGAAAAAAAACTGCTCACTTGCATATTTCGCGACAATGCATTCTTTTTTTCTGCTTCTACTTCTGTGTAAATTTCCTGCCGTTGCAAAATCTATGCAAATCATTTTTCTCTTTCATAAAATTTTACACATATTTGCACACGCAAACGTGCGCTTCAGCAGCACATACCGATGAAAAATGCACATCTGAAATCAATCAACATTTCTATCGATCGGAACCAATTGGCATGCAAATCCAATCGAACACTTGCGAAATTGTTCAGTCGTAGTTGCTAATCGCAATTTTATCGAGCGTGGAAAATTGGCGTTTTGAAAACATATGAATATGATTAAAAAAACGAGGAGAAAATTTTCATTTAAATTAACATAACACAGAAATCGCACATATAGATCTTGCAGAGCTGCACAAATACAATGCCATACGGCAAAATGAGCACAATAGATGCAATTATTGCAAAAGACATAGTTTATGTTTATATTTAACTGACTAAATTGAAAAATTAGACGATACAACAACCGGAGCAAAAGGAAACCGTGCGCACGGAACAAGGAGCGCGCTTGGTTAGAGAGAGAGAGAGAGAGAGAGAGTGCGAGACTTGCACTTTTTCCACCTCAAGGAAATTGTGTGGCATTGAACGATATATTCAACAATGTGCTCAAATGCATGAATATAATTAAGGGAGCATTAACAATAATAGGATGAAATCAGTTTACAAAACAGGAACGTGAAGAAAAAGCAGAAAAAACAGATCTGCGTGCATGAAACAAAAAAAAATGGCAAAGAAACATTTACATAATCGATGAAAAAGCAGGCAAATGTGACACAAGTATATAAATCAAAGTGAATGCGCTCCTGAGCTGTCGCATATATGGCACTGAAAAATCGGTGTGCTGATAGTGTGCAACATATTCAAAACTGCACAGACACAGATGTATACACGTACAAATGTTAATATGCATGCAAATGGCAGCTACACACAGCGATGATGATGAACAACAATACAATTTCAAAAGAAAGCGGCTCTTTAAACTCTTCTCTCTCTCTCTCTTCATCTCTTCGACTTCTTCTTCCTTTTCTGTTACCTTCCGAAAAATGTCTTGCTCTATTTTTTTCAATGTTCACCCTATTCAGTCTTACGCGCGCTTCTATCTTTTTCCCTTTTGCCTGTGTGCCTCTGTGTGTGTGTGTGTGTGTGTCGGGTACCCTCTTGGCCGGAGCTGTTTTTCAATTTGTTCATTGTTCGGGTAGACTATTTAAATAGATCTAAGTAGCTATTGTACGAATTTCGCGGGTTTTTAAAAAATATCTTCAGACATTTTTGTGCCTACGATATAAATAACATATCACCATTTTTTGCATGTACGGTTTCGACTGTGTGCACAACTATTTGGCCAATGTTTCGCGGTACCCAGTGTATGTGTGTGTGTGTGTCTTCTGCATTGGCACAATGACGTGTGCAAAAAAAGGAAGATTAAGAAGAAGAGGAACAATGTAATCAAATTTACAATGGAACGAAAACGATTTACAGACCCATCACCAATGCATCGGTCGGCGCGAAAAGAGAGCCGGAATCGTGCTACAGAGGAAGGAACCGATTCGAGCTTGTCTTGTTGTTTGCAATATGTTTTTCATCATCAGCCAGGCAACACACACACACACACGCACACACTTCAATTTGCAATGAACCGAATTTTCGCGCATATCAACCGACATGAAAACAGGTAATAACATCTTTAGATTGAACTCGGCGCAACGGAATCGGTTGATCAAACGGGCAAATTCATACAATGCCATGAGTTAAATGGGTCTCTAAAGTATGCAGTCGACTGACACCATGCAGAGTGAAATCAATCTATGCGCGAAAAGTGTTTGAGGCGGGAAAAATGGATCGATTCATTATGAAATTTTCACCTGGTTTGAAAAGAAGACGGAAGAAACGAAATAACGCAAGCCATGCTCTCCCTTCTTATCAACAATTTTCTTTACATCCCTTGTAATTAGTCGAGACAGCATTTCGACTTTTCATTCAGATGAATTTAATTGCAAGCAAATGAAAAAAGAGCCGTTCGCGATTGCACAGCATTGAATTCTTTCGGCGAAGAAAATGACGCGATGGAAAAATTCAAATCAAATTAGTTTCCGCTTAATTTAACGTTTATGGCTTAGGTGTTGGCAGTAGCTTTGAATCAATGGACAAAAAGTGCCATGTGATGAAATGCATGTACGACGTCTGAATGCATACACAAAGCGTTATACTGGCACAAATCGATAATTTCATTTTGAGAAGAAGAAAAAAAAATTGCACCGTTGCTGCTGCTTCGAGTCAACAAATGCTGACGCTGATTCGATGAATGTAGATCATTGTTGCATCATACTGAGCGCGCGATGCTGATTCCATCGACTTAATTGTGTTTACTTCTGTGTGCCGAACAAACATTGCCCGAGTTTATTGCAAAAAGTTAAAGATGAAAAAAGGTCGACTGATGAAGCTTCTTCCGATTCAAATAGCTTCAATTTATTTGTTTTGTGTTATGATGCGTCTAGCTGTGACTTTGACATTCCATACTGAGTGCCTGCTTTGTTTACCGTTGCATTCATCAAAGATGAAAATGTCAAATCGTTCGTTCGATTAATACGAACATAGCGAGCATTCCATTCCAATCGCTTTGGATTTTTATAAATAAACAACGACCAGATATTTAAGACAGTTTTTTTTCCTTTCTTTCAAGTAATTTCTGTTTAAATTAAATCAAAAGTCAATTTACACGTAAAACGATTTATTGAACCAATTCTATTTGTTTTTGCTCAAATCAGTTGGATGTGAGACCGTTAGAGAAAAATGATGAAATCAGTTTGGGAATCTGGCGCAATATCTACACGGGTCAATGAAATTAATTTCGCTTGAATGACATTGCCATTTCGAACGAAAAAGAGAGAAGAAGAAATGTCTTTCATTTCCAATTTCTTATGGTTTTAATAATTACTTTGCTTAGTTCGTTAGCATTTGTCAACGTTTTTCGGTTGGACTAGGTCCGGATGGTTTGCCAGATCAGCGCATTTGCTTATATATGGTGTGTGCATATGAATGTGTGTGATATTGACACCGAAAATAAAATACGAAATAATCAAGCAAATACAAAGAATGGAAAAGAATGTTACAAACACACCCTCTGCTTTCAATAGCACGCGCCAAAAACTGTTGATAGACTACTCCGAGGCCTGACATAGATGTTATAGCGTGTTGCACACAATGACTGTGCAGCGCAACGGCTACGATCGTAGCAGTTTCAACATATTAAACGCGCTCTCGGTCTCTCTGTCTTTCTCTTTTGCTCTGTATGTGGCTCATTTGGGTTCGCGTATTTCTATCGCACACCCAAAACAAGGAGAAGGAACAGCAACAACAACAACAGAAAAAATACGACAAATTCTAGTGCAAAAGAATTAATAATGGAAATGAAATAAATAATAAGTCTAGTTTATACTGGGCGATAAATGTAAAAATAGGGGTCAAATGCACGGTATAGTTTCGTGCTTCGTTGGTCTTTCTTGGTGCAACTGCTTTTAACGGTAAGTCAAGGTGGTTGCTGTTGCTGCTGCTGCTGCTGCTGCGCTGCAATGCTTCCCGACCCAAACACTACACAACGTACATATTATATGGTTGAGCTATTGTTTGTGTTTGTTACATTGGTCGCTCTTTTACTTTTTTTGTCCCTTCAATTTTCCGTAACGATCTTATATGCGAAGAATTGCGCCACTACGACACACTACTTCAATGTGTGTGTGTGCGGTTTTTGACCGCTGAAATCAAATTAGCGCTCATACCGGTATATGCTCCTTGCTCTCTTTCGTTCGCCCTCTTTCGCTCTCGTTCTCTTTCTCACTTCGTTTTTCCGCCTTTTATTTTTTATTGTCTGCAATCAGAGCGCGCATTCATAATATATAGGCAAATGACCAACACACACACACACACACACACACCAGAAGACATTGGCATTGTATGAAAAGGAGTTGTAGCTACAGATCAAATCATATAGCATGTCTAACGCATAAGCATTTGAATAAGACACTTGTTCGACTCTATTATAAAGTTGGTAAACAATTGATGACCTCTTTCATTTTTACAGCCTTTTGAGAATGCTTTTCGATGGGTTAATTGTATGGTATTTTTTTAATGGACACCATTTGATGGGTTTTTTCTTTCTTCGCCGAGTCAATACAATGAAACAAATTTAGATGGTATTGGATATCTGGGTTTTTATCGAAATGAAATAACATTAAACCACCAAATTGATCAACGCATTTTCTTGACATCATTACCAGATCGCCTTAGAAAATTAAAACATGCTCGCGATGAAAAACGCAACTTCAAATGCATGAAGTTCGATCAAATTCCCTTCAAGCTCATTCCAAACAAAAATACCAATTCAAAAAGTGCTTTCTCACGTGAAATTCAACAATTTTAAAACTTTGCAGTTATTTTCTGTGCTTGAACGTGTGTAACCGTATGTGTCAATCGGCCGCCACCTATGAATAGATAGCTGAACATATAGCGTTCCATATGCACTGCGTAACCAATGACATGTTGCGTGCGTGTTGTGTGTTTCGAGAAAAAAAAACTTGAATCAGCTGACTTGAATAGTTTGTACTTACCGGTTACATTGGAGCCGTTATCGGGAATCAATTTGGTTTTGGCTATGTTCATCGCGAGCTCACTAACCGGCGAAAGAATCGATGGCGGATTTAAATCCTTAAAATAAGTGCTGATATTGAGCCTCGGTAACGTTACTCCAGAATCAGTTGTGTCAGTTGTATCTTCATTGCTATCATCACTTATTACATCGCTAATGTCTGAATGTTGTTCAAAATCGCACGCATCTTGTGTGCTGCAATCGTCAAAATCAATATTTGGCACAATGATGGCATTTTCAATTGGATCACATTCACCACTGGACAATTTCGATGATTTATCCATAGTTCACTGGTTTTGTTCTTTAATTTTTGGTTATTTTAACCGATTGAGATCACTGAATAAATTGAATGATTTAACGGAATTCGAACAATGTTTCACTGGGTTTGGTAGAACGTACAAATAGTCAATTGCATATTAAAACATAGTAATTAAAATTGTTAAAAGAATCGGTGTATTCTGGAAAGATAAAAGAAACCAATTTAGTTAGTCCATGACACATTTCCAACAAATCAGCAGAAACAATAAATGCCGAAGAGCACACTTAGATTAACGGATCACAGTAGACAAAACAATTTCGGTTGGAGCAAAAACATAAATCCACAACCAAAGCACTGACTGTCATGATCTCAGTAGCATCGAATTTATTGTCTTTTATTTTGATTACTAAAACTGATCTTTGATTTTTCATGAGCGAATCACAAACTGATTGAGAAAAGAGAGAATGCGCACAATTGGATGTTTGGTATAAACTACTTACCAAACATTCGATACAAACACATCAATATTGAACAAATAAGAAGAATCATAGATAAAAAGAATCACAAAATACGAATTGTTAAAACATTGAACTAAAATTATGGAATGAGTTGATATGACAACGACGATTTTCACAAGAAATGCAAGCAATATTTTCCGAGCCATACAAGCCGAACAATAGATTCACTAATCACAAGAAAGGTCAAGCGGGAACTGAATCGACGAGAACACTTGCTACTGACTACACTCATACATACGCGCACACTGACTTGTGAATGTTGTAAATATTTACAGTGATCGGATGGCAAATCGGTGGAACAACAACAATCTGCATGTATGGTGCGTGTGTTTGATTAGGCGCCAGCACTGACATTTCGTTCATAAGTAAACAATAGATGCTCGCTGAAATTGGTGCGCACAATTCGCCGGATATTCAGTGAAAATTATTATCAAACGAAACTTTCACATTGAGTAGAAATCATAGATTCGATGTCAGCTGATAGTTTGCCTTTTAAATGATGAGCTGTGATGTACTTTAAATCACTCCAATCCAAATCACTCCAACTCACTCACACAATGAATGTAGACACGACGCTCAACCGGTGTCGGTACATTAGATACAACTTCTAACCCCACAAATAAAACGCCACACAATTTTCGGTTTGGAATTTAACATTTAATAAAAATCATTTGTGGTTTGGTTTTCCACCGAATTCGGTATCTAAACAGAATCAATCCGATGGCTGACCATCACAATGACTGTTTTGTAAAACAGTTGAATATTTTGAAATGTGAACAAACAGAAATCGTGGTTTATGGTGATTCACACTCTGTAATTTAACTTGCTTGTTTATCACAAAACCAAATCCGATCCAAGGGCTAAGTATTCTTTGATTTTTTGGTGCGTGCGTTTTTCCTCACCGAATTTTGTGAATGATTTGAAGAGGAGACGAAACGCTTGAATTTTATCTAGAAAATATAGAAGAATTAATATAAAATAAAATTGAATTATTTTGCCGCTTGGCAAAGGCCTAAACATTTAGAGTAGATATTTGATTTTTTTATGTGACAAATAGAAAAAAAATCATCTCATCATTGAGCATACATTTGTGTTGCGGTAAATTATGGCCAAGTTCAACTAAACATATATATAAAGAATAGGATTTTTAATTTCTGTTGTATTATTCAATTTTATTTGCCAAACTGCACTAATAATTCACTAAATTAATGATTTGCTCTCAATTTGTGTGTTCTAATGGAACAAGTCAAGTCTGTTGCTCCCGATCCATTTGTCGATTGCTCTTCCGAGTATTCCTGAAAGTTGGCATTACAATCATCGGTTTTCAGTTCATTTTTTTTTCATTGTACAAAATCGTGTTTTTTTGTAGACATTTAATTATATTCAGTGTTTTTGATTTTATTTCTTTTTTCATCGGGGCTAACCTAAAGTTTACGTTGTTCACAGAATTATACACTATCGAATTTGTCTTAACAGTCCCTGTTCAATTCGAAATTCTTCAGTGAATTAGATGATAACATGGATAGTAAAAAGAATTCTTGTTCAAAACAGAAAAAAAAATATAGCAATTATCAGAACTAAAGTATTTTACAAATGTAAAGTGATCTAAGCATGCAATTTCAACATTCTTGGTTTTTTATCAAAATGATATTTTGTTTTGTCGTCTCCTGGTTAGTTGTTTGTTTTTTTCGCATCGTTTTTTTTATTTCACAATTCAATTTGCCCACCGGCATTGGTGTAATCAAGTGAAAATGTTCACGATTCAAAGACGACTGTCATAACAGCCGTAACGGCGATGCCAGCAACCAGAGCGACCAGCTGTTTGACGGATTCTTTAGAGTCAGTTTCTTTGAGCAAATCCGGTAATACGGTCACTAATGAGATGTGTAAGAAACCACCGGCCGTAAATGGCATAATCCATGATGTACGCGCTTCCATGGCGCTCGTCACATTCGTACCACCGATGGCAACGAGTGCACCGACCAAACCAGCTCCAGCTGTCAACAGTTGAGACTTTGCAGCATCCCAACGACTGAAACCAGACCGCAGCAAAATCGCAAAATCGCCCACTTCGTGTGGAATCTCGTGCACTGTTCCCAGAAAAAGAAAACAATAGAAAAAATCCAATTTAATGAACATAGCCATTGTGTTCCAAAATAGGTTTCAGAAGCGATTTAAATGCAGAGACAAATGAATGTGTTGAATTTCTTACGTAAAATGGCGAACGTTCCCAAAATTCCATGACGAAATGAAACGAGAAACGATCCGGCTACGGCCAATCCGTGTGTAAAGTTGTCAATTGAATTGGCTAGCAAATTAAGGTAGCCAGCAATTTTATTTGGTTGATATTCCTTCTTTTCGTTGGATTTTCCAGCCAAAAAGCATCCATTCGGAACATCTTCAATGTCACACGATCCATTTTGTGCACAAACCAATCCATCCTTGTTTTCCGGGAGTTTTCCGCCACTTTTGCGCAGCAAACAATTAGCAATTTCGACACATTTTGGCTGTGGATTGCTTTCGTCCGCATTCATATAGCCCGAAAAGATTTTCTCGACAATTGTAAAAATGAGAACGCCACCCAGCACCCAAAGGCCGCTTCGCATCGACGGATGACCGTCTGCAATCAAAAAATGGGGAAAAAACGAATCGTTTATTTTTTCTCATTGCAATGAGAAATACTGAATCACCTTCTGTTTTTTGCGAAATATCGGAGCTCCAGGCTTCGGGCAGCAAATGCAAAAATACATCACCAAGCAGTGTACCAACAGCAAAACTCAACAATACCTTGAGAGATTTCGATTTAGCCGCTGCAATGGAAAAACAGACGAAAAAATTATCAATCAGTTGCAGATGGGCTAATTCAGTCTAAGTATAGAATTGGCGCATATGGCATGAACGATCGATAAGCCGATTGGAAGAAGAGGAGAAAAAAACGGTCGTTGAAAATCAATACAAATCTTTATCTAACGATTCGTATCGGTACCGGTATCGGTATCGATCCGTATCTACGTCACATCAGGTACTTGAACATTTCAACGGTAACGTGGGGGCAATAAATTATGTGTACGCGACAGATTAAACAATAGACACGTACTAATTTAATTGATGGTTGATGACCACTTCAATGTGTTAAAAGATCAAATCTTATCGCTAAGGCATGTCAGAATTGTTAAGTAATCGCTGGCAAATGGTTGCAATGTTGGAACAATGAAATATGCAGATTATGCATACCATACACTTACGGTCATTGAATTCCGAACCGCCGGTGCCGTCGCCAGCATCAAGAGGGATGATTAACAATGGAAATATTCCACTGAGTCCGATTACGATTGAGCCCAATAATGAAAATACCCATGGCTTGTACTCAAATTCGATTGTCTTTATGTATTCCGGTGTAAACCGTTCGATAACTTCGAAATAAATGTAGCGCAGTGTTTCGTCCATGACTGGCGATAGTGTTGTGTTCATTTCAATCGACCGCCAATTTCAAAAGGTAAAAAATTGTCACTGATGATTCTGGTCACCTGTTGTTGACAATTTTCTTGCTTGTTTTTTGTTTTTTTCTTATTTGTTTCTATAACGTTAAATCACAAGTGACGATCAAAACACGAGTTAATCAGAATTGAACTAGATTGTCTTCTTTGTCACACTTAAATCACATTTGTTGCATCATTTCGCGGTATTTTATCGGCTCATCCGAATCAAACAGCAGCAATAACAATAACAACAACAGCAGCCAACGATAAATATTAACAGAATATGCTAAACAGAAAGTGCGATCGTAGATGCAACACGATGGAACTGGTTGCACATTTGTGGTGTATCATTCAATTGATAGCAGCGGTTCTACGAAAATGGTGGATGTGTGAGTGTGCCTGGTCTCGCCTTCTGAAAACAAATCAAATTAAAACGAAAAATATTATGAATAAAATCAAGTCGATCATATTCAATGGAAATTAAACGAATGCCAAATAATTGCGTTTTTCAATATTATTAATCCCAAATTATTCCGAATGCACTGGATTTCATTCAATGTTTCTTGTTTTTTCTCGACGAATAGGTCTCAATGCACCTAATTCGACAAACAAATCGGCACACTCTGCATTCGTCTCGTTCGATTGAATAAATTTGTGGCAACGCTTTTGAATAATAATCAATCAATATGCGATACATATAAATTTTTTCACATGAGAAAACTGTTATATGGAAGTTAGTTACAATTAACCTGATATTATCTAAGGCAATGAACGCGACTCAATCGACGACTAAATTATTGGCACATGCGATCCGACCAACGTTACTGAACAATATTTTATTTTACACAAGTAAAAACGGCAAATAAAGCAGTGACGCACAGGCGTGAGTCGCGTGTGCGAGACAGAGAGCGAACGTGAACGCGACCAACTGAACCGAACTCGAACCGACCGAGCACATTGTTTGTGCGATATAGACGACAACAACAACAAATTTCGAAGGATGTGAGTGAGAAAGACAGTGATAAAGAAGGCAGTTGAAAGTTAATTGCGATATAAAGGCTCACGTACAAAAATACAAGTGCCCAGAATGCTTGAGTATCAGATGTGCTATAAGTGATAAAGTCACCGCTGACAAAATTGCCACCCGAAAAAAAAAGAAATGAAAAAAAGAAGGAACAACATACAAAAATGCCGGAGTGGTGAGTGGAAAATTGTGGTGCACTATAAATGTGTGACAATAAGCGAGAGAGGGAGAGGGATTCGCTAAAATATTTCTTTGACTGAAGCGAGAGAGTAGCGGAGAAGAAAAGAAGCAAAAGTACAAGAAACGGCGATGCGATGCACATCTCGGTGTAAGTCAAAAGAAAAAGTCATTGACTGAATTGGTTTCTTACTATTATTCACCAATTTGCCGAGCATAATTCAATTGAATTAACGTACAATCGAAATATATATTTATCCATCCAATTCATGGCGAATATGTTCGCAAAATTTGTGCGCGCCAAACGGAAACGAGAGTGACTGAAGTCTCGTTTTTTTTCTATTATTTCTTTCGCGCCTTGTGAATCCAATATACAACATCTGATTCCATGCCTTGTGTGCTCAATTCAAGCAGCCATAAATACGGACAGATGAAATGTTGCTCATTTTATTACAACAACACGATGGATGATAAAGCCGATTGAATCGTCGTATTTTCTCTTCTTCTTCTTTGGTTCAAATCAATAATCAATTATCGCGATCCGTAGTGTTCACGTTTCTAATAAATCATGCGCCGTTCAAATATTTCATGCAACAAAATGAATCGTAAATGGAAGATATTCAACAAATGATGCTCTAGCGGCATCTATACGGTAGAGTTTGGAAATTTGATTAAATGATTTCGTCACAAGGTTTACCCAAATATTGGAAATGGTATTTGTCAAAAATGGCATTTCAAACGTCATTCATGATTCATCTTAGTGAACTTCCGATAGGGAAAAACAGAACTCTGAAAGGTTTTGGATCTGTTGAATATAATAACATTGTGCTTCACAGCGTTGATTTTATTAGTGTATCGAATGTGTTTTTTTCAGCTACTTGAAATCTAGGGGCTTCTAACTCCAGACGAATGTTTAATTGTCGTATATTTTAACCATTTCGCATATAAATTTGTATTGGCGAATAGAGATAAAAGCCCCTAACTTGGAATGAAATGATCAACACCTATTTTGTTCATTCATCTAAAACGAGCAGTTGTGTTTGGTGGAAATGAATCGACGTTGCTGTTTTGATTACGTGCAATGATGAATGTTGTAGGCGATTACACAGAAAAAGCATCCTTTCGAATAAACAAAATAATTTGGCTTGTCCTACGCGTGCACATTTTACATGAAAACATTCAACTAATTCAAAAAAAAATATGCCAAGAGTGAGAGATAAACGTGATAGAGAGACCGTTCAAAACGAAACGAGACAAAATAAAGGAACAAAACACTTATCATACGTGTACTGCGGTTAATGTCCACATTCTATTTGTGGATAGTTCGTTTGATTATAAACGCAGATTATAGTGCAATTGAATCTGTACTAGACTTAAACACAAAGTTCTGGGTTCATACTTTCATTTCCAAATTTATCGCAATGCCAATCGAAATGCTGGTTTTCCCGTTGTTTTCATTACCTATTCGAGTAATCTTGAAATGTTAATTAGAAAAATACACGACGAAAAGTGAAAGAAAAGAGTTGTGAAATACTTTCCACGAACGAAGACATTGATTTAATCTTATCAACATTTAAATCCTTATCGTATGACTGCGAGTCACATACAATGTATTTACAACGTCTAAGCGGAATGAGTGTTGTTTTCATTCACGCCGTGAGTCAATGGATGCCAATCATACACTCTTTTATTGTGCGTATCTAAGCAGAATTTAAGTGAACAAAAAACAACACCGTTTATTTTTTTATTCGCTCACTCTAAACACATGATGCAGAACAATGTAATAAACAAATTAAATTTTGTTTTTTTTTTTTGCTATATCGCACATTTTTCATGAATAACATCACTGAGAACGAACAAAAGTATTAATAACAAAAAACACAATGATGATAAATAGTTGGGAGCCTCCAATGAGAATGCACCAACAATTGAAACAAAGAGTTTGAACGAAAAAGAATCACAATCAAGGAACCCCTTGAATGAGGCGATGCGTTTGCATTTCGGACAGGATGTGTATTTACTTCATGTTTATTCATCGTTGTCAATATTATGACAATTCAATTGGCGATCTATGAGTGAGTGAAAAGAAAATCTCGCTCAAAATAGTTGCATGTAAGTGTGATTCATTGTTCACAAAACTGTTATTTTATCAACTCACACAAAGTCCAACGTATTAAGAGCACACAATTGAAACGGATCATTTAACGCCTAGAAAATGCAGTGCATTTAATCGGAATGACACGCGCGCTATACGGCATTAGCATGTATAAACAAAAACAACGCAAAATATAACACCAAGAATAAAATAGTGACAAAGAATATATGAACCGAATCGAACGCTGAACATTGTCATTTTCGATATTATTCAATTTAACGAAATAGAAATTTTTTTTTTCCAAAACTGGTGCATACAAATATTGAATTTGTCGAAGGGAAAACAAATTCGTAAATTGGTATACACAAATATTTACATGAAGAAAAAACTAACCGAAAACGAGTTCACACACAATAATATATATTTAAAAAAAAAACGGAATTCAATACGTAGAAAATAGCAAAGTAATTCTTACAATTTTTTACGAGAGAGGATGAAAAGAAAAATCCACACCAATCGCCAAGAATTTAACTCTTTCGTTCTAGTTTCGAAAATACATTGAGTATATCACAACAATTAGTATTACGAGCGAAATTAATCAATTTAATCGACGTCTTTCTCGGTATCTCTTTTCTCTGTATCATGTGAGTATCGCAATTGATTATGTGCTGATAGTTTCCTGATTGATTATTATTCGATCATGGCTATTTTTGCACTAGTTCACTTTGCTTGTAATACGTTTCTTCTTAAAAGAGTGTAATTTTTGTTTCGTAATTTTTTGCACGGTATAATCAATGAATATGTTGTATGCTAATTGAGATTGCAAATTCCATACAAGAACAAGCAATATGATTTTTGTTTATTGTTATTATTCATTTCTGTCCGAAACGAGACTCGAATGCACACTCGATCGCTTACGGTGTTCACCACTGAATGACAAACATTTATTGTCTTTCTGTTGTGTCTTACTCTTTCCGCTCACTGTCTGTTATTATTTTTGTTTTAATTTAATTTGCGTTTTTTTCGTCGTTGTCTTCGTCGTATTTGTTGTGTATTAACTGCGTTTGAATTTCATATTCACATGTCTGTGCACATTTTTCACTTTTATCAAAATCAGCTGAGTGCCGGAGCTAGCACACACCAATAAAAATGTGTCATTTCGATTTCATTGTGTATATGAAATCTATATATATATATTGCTCTATTTCCAATGGCCCAGCCACAATGATGTGAAACGCTATTTTCAATACCATTCGCTACAGTGTACCATTTTGGCTGTATGTGTTGTTTTCTGGATTTGTTTTTGCGTTGTATGGATTGAATTCGTCGCGCCTCAACTTAAAACTGACATTTAATCGTATGAGAAAGAATAAAAGAACAGCAGTAACAACACCATCAGACAAAACCGCATCAATACAAACAACACAAGAGTTTGGTTATGTTTACATGATTTTCAGGGTCCAATATTGCACACACGTCAAATTCATTTTCGACATAAACACCAATTTTGTCAATTGAAAACATACCGAAATATAATTCAATGAAATTTGGCCCAACGCAATTTAATGTCAATGGGCTGTTTTGCTTGCGAACACACTGTGTTTATGTGTCTGCGTGAGGATACCACAATCGAAATCTGTGTATCTGATCCATGGCTACCAACCTATCGTTCAACAAAGCATTGAAAACAAAATGTCAACAAATACGCAGCAGCACCCATCCGAGCATCTGATGACACTAAATCATAAGACGTACACGAATTTGTTGGTTTCTTGTCTATTCACTCGGTCACAACAACAGCAGAAGAAGAAAAAAAAACACAACTTAATATTAATAATCGCTTGATAAGGGTTGGGATACAAACACCAAAAACAAAACCATTCAAACCGGCTGAAATAGTTGCATAATGCGAAATTCTGGTCTGGAATTTAGAAAACGAAACCGAACGAATAATAGTCCCCACCAAATTATGTTTTTAAATAGTTTTTGACAGATGAATTAATTCGCTCTAAGTGGCCTAGTCTTCTTCTAATGTGATTGTTATTGGCTCGTTAGTCGTTCGTTTGTTTTTTTTTCGCATTTCATACAAAATCTGCCCATTTTTTTCTGCTTGTCGGTCTGTACGTGTATATGATAAAGTTGCTCGTTCATCGGTATTTGTTTTTTACATTGCGATTACAAAATAAATGAAGATGGGTTGGCGTTTTTGGTGATTTTGTTCGTGTTGTTGCTCGTTTTTTGCTTACTTTTCCTCAATTTAGTGGAGCCAATTTTATGGAAATCTTTTTTTCAATAATTCAACAAGCTCGCGTACAATGCTTCAGTCCATGTGAATTATTTCACAGAAGTCATTATATCACAGTGTAATTTTTCGAAACATCGGTCCATTCTATTGAATCTGATTATAATTATTCGGTGATTTCTTTTTTTAATGTGAGCCCATCAAGTGTGATTTAATTTGTGTGAAACAAAAATGAGTGAAAATATTGGCAATTTATATGTGAGTGCGGAGAGTGAAGAAGAAGTGAGTACAGTGGGTGGTTCACCTCGAAAATCTACGTCGTTATCATCGCTTCGAAGTCTACGTGATACGTTCAAAAGATCAGAGAGCCGGACATCACAAACGAGTTTGGCATCGACCAGCAAAGTAGAAACATCCGACAATGGTTCCGATCAAACCACTTCAACTGACACCAAACTGAGTGAGTACAAAATGCATGTTGTTTTTCATTCAATCCGGGAAAATTGTCCAACGGACGGAATGCTGCTTTTGAATTTGTCACACGAACAAAACAAACCGTTTCTCCCTTGGGAAAACCGAAGAGTTGACATTTCATACAGTAATACCTGGTTCCATTTTAAAAATCCTAAGAACAATACCGCTATCCTAAATCAAACCAAGCCACTTCGGACCGATGAATTTCACCAAAATAGACCCAATTCCAAGTTGAAGTTATTGCAATTTTGTCGGATGTAAACACTAAACGTTGTTATTTGATTTGCGCATTTCGAGCACAACTTCTTGTCACAGCATGGCAAGTGAAAGCACTTGGATCATCACACGATGCCATTACGAGAGAATGTGACATTGAATGTCACTCTATTTTCCATATTGTTGTTGGCGCTGGCGCATTGATGCCCTTTTTGCTTTTTTCGCGATTGAAACATAAACACTCATTACAAACATACGTACGCACACACGGACACCCACCCGCTCCGACATAATACACATCGTGTACACATTGCAACGGACGAGTGACTTGTTCATTAGAACACACAAAGCATAAAAGGCTGGGTAAAAAATCGATATTCAAAAAGTCAAACGCAGAAAGAGAGTTAACGACACACGACACACCGAAGGAAGGGAAAATAAAGTAATAACGAAACAGCAGTTGTTATCGAATCTTGTTCCATTGTTTTGACGGTAATTTCCAATAAATTGACCAGCAAAAATCAGATTAAGTGAAATGTTACACACAGCAACACATTTCGATTGAATAAGGGCAAAGCCTATATCGATGAACAAGTGAATTGCACCAAAAACACACACACACACACCGTATTTTGTTCGATCAATACGGTTTTTGCAATCTGACGAAGCCGAATTTGTATCAGTATTTCAGAAGAAGTTGAAAGTGTTGTTTTGTTAAGGTTTAAATTTTCATAGAAGTAAAGATTCATGTGATTTGTTCTCTATTATTGCGTTCCTCCGAGGCAATTGATTCAGAAACTGCACAGTTTTCGATTAAACATGTGAAACATTCTGCGTCACTTTGTCCCCATAGAGATAAAACCTTGTTTTTTTTTCTTGTTATTGACATGTTTTGTTGTTTTGTGCTCGTTAATTAATGCAAAATATGTTTTCGATTTATTTCTCTTTTCTCGATTTTCTGATGGCTTGGCCGCTCACGCGGGGATTATCTGTCAAAAGTGTACGAATGTAGCAATCATGCGAGGTGGTTCAAGTAATAACAGTAGCACCAACAATAACAATAACAATAACCACAACAACAATTCCACGATGATTTCTTTGCCTCGCGGCAATCCCGATATGGAAGAAGTGGCTGGTGCCCAAGACACAATCTACTTGTGCAATTTCCGCGTGTCCGTCGACGGCGAATGGTTGTGCTTAAAAGAATTGCAGGATTTGGATATCCAGGAAGGTGGTTCACATGCTCAAAACGAAGAAGCTGGAACTGTCGCTAACTTTGGTATTCCAAACAATAAATGCGAAGAGAAATTGGATCGTGATTGGGTCAATTATTGTAGGTGGCTTGGTTTGATTCGCGGGTTTTTTTTTGTTCAGTTTTGAATTCTGATGAAAAATCTCTTTTTCTTTCCCTAATATTCAAAATTTGTTTATTTCCATTGATTTTTCTGGCGATTTTTGTCTCATTTGCAAAAGAAAAACTTGGAGAAATGGCCCTGGTAACCAAACACAAACTGAAACAGCCATTTTTCATTTGCACTGGTTTTGATTTTGTTTTTGTTTTTAATTCGACCAAATGTGATTTCTACCAATTTATTTGCTTTGGCAGCACTTGAAACTATCAAATTTATTTTTAAAAAAATGTCTTAAATTTCAACTTGGAATTTCCTATCCCAGTTTCAATTTTTACCTTTCTTATTTTTTGTACGTTTGAATGTTTAGAAGAAAAAAGAAGTGTATGGAAATTGTTTACTTTTTTAGCTCGCGATCCAGCGGCGATTGAGCGCAGTAATTTGGTGAATATTTGTAAGCTGGTTGTAAAAGAATTATTGGAACAGTCAATTCGATATGGACGTATGCTCGACTCGGATCACTTGCCACTGCAGCATTTCTTCATTGTGCTCGAACATGTGCTGCGACATGGACTGAAGCCAAAGAAAGGTTTGCTCGGTCCGAAAAAAGAGCTGTGGGACATTTTGCAGAGTGTCGAAAAGTATTGCTACGAAGCGCATGATATAACAGCCAGTGTTCGAGATTTGCCAACCGTTCGAACACATATGGGCCGCGCCAGAGCATGGCTTCGCATCGCTTTGATGCAAAAGAAACTGGCCGACTATCTGCAAGCGCTGATGGAACACAAAGACGAAGCGTTGGCCGAATTCTATGAACCGCATGCGTTAATGATGAGCGATGAAGTAATTACGATCGACTTTTTTCTGCTTATTCTTCTCTTTCTAAAAAAAATATTTTGATTTCCGTTCAACTTCAGGTCGTAATAATAATGGGCATTTTGGTTGGTTTAAATGTGATCGACTGTAATCTGTGTTTCAAAGAGGAAGACTTGGATTCGCAACAAGGTGTTATCGATTTTTCACTATATTTGCGAACCAGTTCACGTGCAAGCCCCGACGATGAAAACGTTCCAGTGGCCGCTCTTGAGGGGCCGGCTGGCAATATGACAGCGGTATTAGACCAAAAGAACTATATCGAGGAATTGAATCGGCATTTGAAGTACGTTTAAATATTTCCGTTTAGGGAAAAATGAAAAATCTTCTTAGCAAATCGAATTCACCACGAAAATGATCGATTTTCTTTTTGTAGCGCGACAGTTGGCAATTTGCAATCAAAAGTTGAAGGTCTTACCACTACAAATGCACTGATGAAAGAAGATCTGGCCATTGCACGAAACAGTTTGATGGCATTGCAAGCGGAGAATGCCGCATTGCGCCGGAGTGCACAGTCGGGCAATGAGAGTCGAAATGAGAATCCAAACAATGTTTTAGATCACATTGATCCGGAAATGGCGCAAGCTTTAGCGACCGAAAAGAAGAAACGATTAGATATAGAACGTGAACTAGAACTTCAGGTATGGCTAATCATCGCATAATGTTCTGATTTTTAGCTTCGAATCACTAATTTTATTCTACTGTACATGATCAGGTTTCGTTGAAAGCCGAAACGGAAATGGCAATGAAGCTGCTAGAGAAAGACATTCACGAGAAACAAGACACGATTGTTTCGCTTCGGCGTCAGCTCGAAGATATCAAGCAGATTAATTTGGAAATGTATAATAAGTTACAGGTATCCGATTTCGTTTCAGGCCCATTAATTTCTCTTCCCGCAGCCAAAAAAAAAACACATTTTTATTTATTCAATTCAATGCCATTTGGTTCATACTCATTTTGATATTTTATTTTCGTTCATTTTTTGTTTCAACTTGAACAGTTTCTTTTAAATTTTTTGGTTTTAGTCGTTAGAACGATGATTTTTGCAGCTACTTTTCGTTGGTTCCTCTATTGATTTGGTCGAGAATTCAAAAAAAAAATCTTTTGATGAACAAAAAAAAAAACGAAACAAAAAAAAAAACATTTCAAAGACTGAACAAAAAAAAAAACAATTTATTTTTCGATCTATAAAGGAGTGCGAATTCGAACTGACTCAAAAAGGTGATATGGTTGCTCGTCTTCAAGTAAAAGCTTGTCAAATTGGGAAACTTTTACAAACACTTGAAACTAAAAGTGCCGAAGAAAATGGTAAAAAGACTGCGTCTCAGTTGAGCAAACAAAAATCGGAAAGTGGACCGCCGGTGAAAAAGCCACACTACATTGATCCAATTCCTCCATTTAATGCGAACAAAATTCGAAAATCACCATCAGCATCGCTCACCACCACCAGCGAAACGGCGTCATCGTCAAAGACACCGGCAGCCACAGTCGTTGCCTCCACCAGCTCCAACACTGTAAATAAAGCCGACACATCCGCTCAAAAAGGGGCAAACACCACGGATGTCGCCAAATAAGAAATGGGCTCGTTTAAATACTCACTGTCTTGCTTAGACTAAGGCCAAATAAAAATCATTTTCAGCGAACTATATAAAAACGCTTCATACCAATCATACACCCGCTTTAATATTCCAATTATTTTGTGTCATTACAAACAAAAGGCGAGAGATTTATATTCACGCGCGATATGTTCATGGAGGAATTGGTGTGTCGCTTGAAACCTCGACGAGGAATGTTATTAGATCTGTTCGCCAATTGGACTGTGGACAGCCCTGAATTCGTTTTTTAGTCGAGCAGCTGTATAGAGATTTTATAGAACATTTACCAATAAAACCAATAAATATATTTGAAAAATAAAAATATTTTACAAACTCATTAATCTAAATTTGAAAAAAATAAAGAGAAAAAAAAGTCATCAAGTTGAAAGGAAATTTCTGACGAATAAAATGTCATAAATTGAAAAAAAACCACAATCTGGTGTCTGAATTTATTTCTTTTACGTTGTTTGTTAAAATATGGCTTGATTTGTATATTTCTGAACAGGAATGTCAGTCATCGTTGAAGCATAAAAGTGAATTATTGGCTAAGCTCGAATCGCAGAAGGAAACAATGGCCAACGTCATTTTACAGCTTGAGAAAAAGTACGTTTCTCGGTTTTAGTATTGGGATTTTCCCGTAATTTTCGTTTTCGATAACGTTTCATTTGAACGGTGGTTTAATACGTCTAAATTTATCGTCTATTCCGTGCACTGATTTATCTTTTGAATCTTTTTTTCTTAACCTTGAATGATATAAACGTGATTTTGATTTGTTTTACTTTTTTTTCACCCGGATTCCAGATACGCCAACGAGATAGCAAGTTTGACGGCATTGCAGGAGACGTCACAAGCGTTGTCATTGCAAGTGGTCGCATGCGAAGAGCGCGCTTCGCGCTGTGAAACGGATGTACGCGTTGAGCGTGAATGGCGATGTGATTTGCAGGAGAAAGAGTCAAAGGCCAAGGAACAAATTAGCATACTGCAACTGCAAATTAAGCAATTGAATGACGAAATCAAAAGCCATGATCGAATGCGCAACGAATTGGAGCGCTTGAAAAAGCAATGGGCCGAAGCGCAAATTACACTCGAAGAGCTTGGCATTCAATTGAGTGTCAATAAATTACAAGTGTCAGAATTGCAGGAGAAACTGAAGAATGCTGAACAAAATAATTCACGGCTGATAAATAGTGACACAAATGGCAGTGTCTGGTCACCAGACAATTCAACATCGAAATGCAAGAAGTGCGAACGAGAATTCAGTCTGACACGACGCAAAGTAAGCATCATAACAACCAATACACATTTATTTCAATCAAAATAAATGGTTTCTTTAATCAAAATTCTTTCTTTCAAATCAATTAGCACCACTGCAGGAACTGCGGAGAGATCTTTTGTAACAGTTGCTCAGAACAAGTAGCACCACTACCGAATGACCAAGGCCAAATGAGTAAACCAGTCCGTGTGTGCGATGGATGTTGGCAGATCATAAACGCAGCTCGAATCACAGCCGGTCGACCAGATAATTGACGTGAACAAACTGTTCTAATTTGAATTACGTGCAAACGACCTCAAAACAAATTCAATCTTTTTTTTAAATCACATTTTATAGATGGATTTCAGTTGCATCTCTCTTTTCCATCTGTAACATGTTTACAAATGATTTTAATAAATAATTTTGAATACAAATTCTATTTCTTTTCAATAAATTACCCTTATAACGTTTATGCAGAAAAACAAATAATTTTTCATTTCTTTAATTATTTTTTTTCTTTCAAGCAGGTTTTTGAAAATAGCCCACACAATCTTCAAAAATGGGCGGACATTTTTAAAATATTTCCAACAAAAACAAACTCAACGAAAGAAACTGTATAGGCCATCCTGAATCATCCACAAAATTCAATCAACCAATTGGATTCTGTTTATAAGTTCTACACACAATCAGCATTAATTCATAACCAATGACAGGAAAAGATAATATAATTGCAAATGGTCAAGTGCCATTTTGTTCCAAAGAAACTGTGTACAATATAAATTAATTTCCAGAATAAAAAAAATATTGCTAAAATTTGTATACTACGCAGCATATGGAACTGGAACAGAATGTAATATTTAATTTGCTGATAATAATGAATGAAATAAATAAAACAGAATCTTGGGTATTCTTCAAAGCAGACAATTCTATCAACACTGTTGCCGTTACTACTATCAAAATACTGTAGATTAGTAGTATTACGCATCTATACATGGATATAATAACACCTAAATTTAATATAATTATATTGATGCATTATTCGAAAAAAAAATTCAGCGGCAAAGAAAACCTATACAAGAAATATATTGAAACATTTTCTTTCACTCTCCGTTGAGTCGTTTAAATTGAAATACAACGGAAACGATAACGTATAAAATTGGAAAAGCAAGATGTTAACCGTAATGGGTTCGTTTCCATGTTTAAATGAAAGGGATAATTTTGAACATTCGTATGTACTGTTTGTATCCACGAGTTACATACTTTCTTTTGATACAAGCGTATCAGTTATTCGTTAAAATTACCTTATTAAATAAGGGAGACAAAGTACATAAATAGACAGTTTTTTCAAGTCGCCGGCGTTTGTCGTCATCTTTTTCTTCTTCTTCTTTTTCTTCTTCTTCTTCTTCTTCTTCTTCTTCTTCTTCTTCTCCACGAGACATTCCATTTGTTTATCTTTTTAATTCAGCCGATTAAATATATTTCAATTATCCCTGTGAAATATTCTTCTTTGCAAAAGAAACACAAGGTAAATATTTTCCGAATAAACAAAGAGGACAACATTCCATGAGCTCGTAAATAAGCAAAAAAAAAAACGTAAACACAAGTGTCTCGGTGTGTGTTTATTCTCTACGCGGTTCGTCAATGACCATGTATTCGGTTTGTCGGTGTTGCGGCGAAACAAGTAATGCATAAGTAATGTCAAATCGCCTATGTCAAGTCGAGATGACACTACCTCCATCTATTGGTACTAAAACCAAAGTGGCACGTGAAACTGAAACCATTCCAGAAACTTTTGAATAGTTTCAACAAAATAAGTAAATTCGGCATAAATCCAGTCTTTTCCATAATTTTATTATTCAATATTTTCATTATTTTCACATTTTTATTGCAGTCAAAACAATTAATTCACCCATTCACATACGCACCGCACCATATCCAAACAAACCGCCATATTTTATCATTTTCACGTTGGCATCAGCAAAATGGAAAGCATTTTTGTGTGGTGCGCCATCGTTGTAGCTGTATAAGTTCAATGACAGAAGCGTACTATCGAAATTTATTATTTCGCTGAGTTTGTGTTGTGTCGCACCGATCTTCTTCATATTAAATTGGAATAAAAAAAGATTCTAGATCCTATAAATCACGGTGTGGAATTACGGTGAAAGTGAAAAATACGAGAGAAACAACAACAAGCATATGAAATCAAAACAAGAAAATGTGTCATACTGAGAATTCCTGTGAAACTTAAATTCAACATTTAAAAATTGCCAATTTTTCTGTGCGGCTGAACAGAAGTGCGGAGAAAAGAGAGAGATTTGAATTCTCTAATTATGCCACCACAGCCACTAGAGAGTATACAAAATGCGGCTGCAACCGATGGTGGTGGCTTCACAACTGAAGCAGCCCGAGGCGGTACCATTTCGCTGGCTATGCTCATCGATTTTATCATCCAAAGAACCTATCATGAGCTCACCGTTCTTGCTGAATTGTAATTGTCCAATACCCATTCACACAGATTGCCCGCCGTTTCGGCGTTTTCACACTGCGCCACTGTTAAAAGTGTTTATTTATTGAAATTTATTCGTTTGCCTTTTGCAGATTACCGCGAAAGACGGATTTGGAGCGAAAAATTGAGATTTACAATTTTTCGGCGAGAACAAGGCAACTATTTATTCGACTATTGGCGCTAGTGAAATGGGCAAATTCCGCTTCTAAAGTGGATAAATCCTCAGTAAGTGACGCAAATCGATTGGAATCTCTTTTATTGAAACGCTTTCGAAATGTGTGAATAACCGTTTGCTTTTATTGCAGCACATTATGAACTTTCTGGACAAACAATCGATGCTATTTGTCGACACAGCTGATACATTGGCACGTATGGCTCGTGAAACATTGGTCCATGCTCGTTTACCCAACTTCCATATACCAGCTGCTGTTGAAATTCTTACAACCGGCACATATTCACGGTTGCCCACTTGCATCAGGTATTATTTTGAATGATTCAACAGCCAAAAAAACAATCCATTGCTCATGAGTCACATTGAAATAACCCCATTTGTTGTTCAACTTTCTTTCGCAGGGAGAAAATTGTTCCGCCCGATCCAATAACGCCAAGTGAAAAGCGTCAAACGTTGCTTCGTCTGAATCAAGTGATCCAGCATCGATTGGTGACTAGCCATTTATTGCCACAAATGCGAAAGTTCAAAATTGAAAATGGACGCGTAAAATTCCACGTTGATCATGAGTTCGAAGTGTCGTTGACGGTGATGGGTGACGGGCCGGATATTCCATGGCGTTTGTTAGAGATTGAAATTTTAGTGGAAGACAAGGAGACGGGTGATGGCAAAGCGTTGGTGCATACGTTACAAGTGAACTATATCCATCAATTGATTCAGGCGCGTCTGGTGGAAAGTCCGAATGCATTGACCGAAGTGTTCAATGTGTTGCATTCATTCAGTCAATTGTTGCAATTAGAAGTGCTCTACACACAAACGTTGCGCTTGAAAATCGATCGACTCGACGATCACATTCATGTGGATGAATATGTGCCAGGTGTTAAGTTGACCGTTTCATATTGGCGCGAATTAACCAGCAAAGATCCAAAATCCGAAATGGGCTATCGATTTACCGTGCAAACCGATCCCAGTGATAGTGCCAGACCGTTGGCTGTGCTGCATATGCCTGCGATTGGAGCGAAAGAATCGGCCGATGTTGCCGATCGTGCCGTTCGCTGTGATCTACTTTCCATGGAACGGCTACTAGTGCACACCGTTTACATTCGGTCACTGGCACGACTTAACGATATCAAAGCCGAATTCCATACATTTTTGAAAGATGTCGACTGTAAGTTTCATTTGGCAATTTTGATAATTATTCATGATCATTTTGATGACGTTTATGTTTTTATTTTGTTGCAGATCACTTGCAGGGCACCCCAGCTATTCTTACTGTTCCAGTATTGAGTCCTTGTTTGCGTGCCGAACAAATTCACATTACCGTTGATACGCATACGGGAATGTTGCGGTGTCACGTGCCCAAGCATCTGAATTGTGCCGTGATTCCGGAGCTGGAGACCGCATTGAATAATGATATAAGTAAATTACCGCAATTGGTTAGTGAACTGCGATATTGGATAACGCAAAGACGTTGCGAAAAGACATTGCAACACTTGCCCGCCACATCATTTGAACTGTTGCCATTGCTCTATGCACCTGATCCGGCAATGGCGCGAACTGGACGGCATAAAATTTTCATCAAATTACATCGCCACTCGAATATTATTCTGGTGGTTGAAATCAAAGAGAAACCAAACACATCGTGTGAAATGGAGTACAAATTCCATCTGATATTTGTCAAACACATTGCTATCGACGAAGATCCCAAAGCACCCACACTGAAATCGGAAAGTGACGTACCGCGAAAGTACTTAACCGTTCAATCAATGGTCGAATTTGATACATTCACCGCAACGCATGGTCCAGGAACTTATCTGGATGGTAAGCATAAATTCATTGTTGCTTTCGTTTGCTCTAATCGCGATTTGGAAGAAGATAAGAAAACAATTCTTATGTGTTTTTTTTTCCTGTCATTTTCAAAGGTTCGAACAAACGAAAACACGGTTCAATCGATGGTCCTGCTGCGAAGCAGCCCAAAACCATTTATCCAGCCTATTTCATACCGGAACTGGCACATGTGGTGGCAATGTGCGACGAGAAATTACCATTCTTTGCATTGGCTCAAGCGCTTAGTAAACGGAAACTTAATCACACTGGCCTACAGATTGAAGCCAATTCAACCAGTTTAGTATTAAAACTGCTGACACTTCCAATGCCCGAAGTTAAGCCGGCTGACAATAAGGTGCGTATCCACTCGATTTTTATTTAAATGAAATATTTTTAAAAAACTTTGTTTAAGACTTTTGAAGAAATTGAATGCATATTTTGAAATGAGTCTAAATGAATTTTCATTTTGTAGAAGTCCATTCCACCGATAGATCCAACCGTTTGGAATGCTTTGTTGAAGCGACTGCTTTCAGTGTCGATTCGATCGCATGTGAGAAACAACAATTCACGTTTTTGGACAGTCGAAATTATCTTCTATGAAACTCCGTTGAAAAGTAAACATCATCGAGAACAAGGTGAATATCATTTTGTCAATTTGATGAATTAAATTTGCGATGCAAAAACGATCCGCTCATTATCGAATCAGTGCCGCTCGTCAATGGCGGCAGTTAATTAGATATAAATGCTTGTACCTACTGATTTCGACATATTGTGAACAAATGCACATCGATTCGGAATTGAATAGCAACGAGAGTGTAAGCGGTTGACGAAAAAACTAATTTCTGCAATATTTTTTGTAGGAAAACGTCGTCCGATACTATTCCAGTATGAGATGGGCACCACTGATTCTGTAAATCACACCATCGACAGCCTTTTGAATGATTGGTCAAAAATAGTCTACTTGTATCTGTTAGTTCATGATTTTGCCGAACAATTCAAAAATGGTAAGAAGTGTTCATTCAAATGATGCTTTCATTTTCAATCCGTTTTTCCACTAATTTACTCAACTCAACTCAACTCAACCCATTTTGTATTTCCCACAGAAATGAATTTACAAAATTTTGTAGTAGTTAAATCATATTCGTATACAAACCTATTGATTGGTTATGGTCCGAATAAGGAAGTTGCTGTCAGTATATTCTGGTGCACAAAGTCCAAAGAATACAAAATGATTTTCAACGGTGGCAATACAGCGATAAATGCTCACACAATAATGCGCGAACAACTCCAAGCTCATCTCAATCGACATCACAATTTATCGCAAATAGTGCACATTATTCACGAAACATACGATCCGCTTAGCTTCATTGCAAAACTGCCGATTATTCCGCAATTGGGGATACCAGTAAATATGACTTTAATATGTTTACCAACTTGAGAACACACTCGAATGTTATACTAATACCATTTTTTTTGTTCGATTTAATTTTGTGTATTATTCTACAGAGACCATTGAATCCAGTTTTGTCATTCTGTATTTTACCTCAATCGCCCACATTGTTGCGTGTATCGTATCAAGCGATGTATTGTATGGAAATTCGACTGCGTGGCGGTGGTTTAGTTTCAATCCGAGATGGAGCATACAGTCGTTTTGACCGAAGCAATGTTGTTGAAGAGTTTACACCCACACAGGGGCTTAAAGGATTTCTATCAAAATATGTGGACGAATCGGCTGTGTATCGACGGCAGTCACAATCAGAAGATGATAATCCACCATCGCCCATCACAATGGAAGATTCTCACGGTGGATCATCACCATTCTATAAGTATGCTTTTAAGTACATATCAAAACTTCCTTTCAAAAGGTATCAACCGAGATAAAAAAATAACATGTGACCTTTAAATTTCACAGTGCAAACTTAAGCCTAAGACCACCACAAAGCCCACGTGATGCTGGCCTACGCTTTCAACAGCCAATTACTCCGCCCTCAAGTTCAAACCCACATACGCCAGCTAGTCCACACATGATTGGTCAAAATCATCCGCATAGCAGGTTAGTTGAATAATCTTTTATCAATATTTGCCATGGTTCATTTTGAACCTAATGAAAGAATGCAATTTATCTAGAAGCAATTAACCAAATAACACGTATTTTAGCTTTAGCATGACTTCACCACCTGGATCGCATCCACAATTACCGCATCCATCGCCTAGCGGAAATCTGATGCCATCAAGTCCACTGAATCCACAACCCAGCCCAATGACAGCTCATTCACCTGGCCCAAATCTAGCTTATATGCAATCTCACCCTGATAGTAGCCCATTCGCATCATCCGCTATGTCACCAGCTGCCGCAAATTGGCCTGGCTCTCCACGACCTTCACCACGACCCGGACAAAGCCCAGAACATAAATTACAACCACAAGGTATTTTACTCTAAATGGAATTTTTTTTTCATTTTCATGAAAGCGGCAAAATTGGATAAGTTCTTATCATCGTATATGAGTCAAATTTTGCGCCTGAATCTAGGGGAAAGACACGAAGATTTTTTCAGTACTAGAAAAACTATAAACATACTGGAAATAATCAGTTTACACACGGTATATGTAACTGTCAAATTTTACTAGAAATACTAGAAAAAACTAGTGCATACTAGAATCTCGTGTCTGACCCATGAATACTTTTCATCCAAATGAAACGAAATTTCAGTACACATGTACTTGATTTCTATTAGCAACTCGAGTGAATCACTTTTATCAAAATCATTAAAACAGACGGTATTTCATTCTATTTCGTTTGAATGCATCGGTTTATTTTGGCAAAAAGACATTTTTTTTCTGACTATAGGTTCATTGATAAGAAATTCTCATAAAGAACATTTGGCTTCATTTAACTGGCTCCTCAGTATAGAAAAAACACTGCTTTAAATGACATACTTTTAAAAAACAAGTATTAATCTAAAGAAAAAAAAATGATATGATGAGTGACTTCGTGCAAAAAGTCATATGAACCAAAATGTTGAGATTTTTTTTAATCATTTGTAGGTCATTCAGATCGTCGTGAATACTTTTTAAATGTAAAAAAGAAACCATGATTCAAAATGAATTCAGACATAGATTATTGTGGTGAAAAACAATTGTACGTTTGATTCAATTTTATCTAAATCGACCAATTAATTTGCAAACCAATTATATGAGCAAATCGAACAAAATTGACAAATTATTCAATGAGAAAAAAATCAAATCGACGTAGAATCGACACGCAAAACTGATGAGCAATTGCCCGTCAAATATGAAATTTTGCGTAATTCAAACGTTGTCTTAAGTAATACCCATCATGAATTTACGTAACTTATTTGGATTTTTTTTTCGTGCTTTGCAGCCAATGCGCCTCATTTATCGCGTGTTATTCCGGCTCGTTCATGGGCAGGAGCAGTGCCAACGTTGTTAACGCATGAAGCACTTGACACACTGTGCCGGCCATGTGCGCATCCACAGAAAGACATTCCGGGACCTGAGCTGAGCCCAATCGAAAGGTTCTTGGGTTGTGTATCAATGAGACGAAATCTGCAACGGCTAATTCAAGCAGATGAAGCGGTACGATACACATTCATTCATTTAATCGAATTAATTTTAACCGAAACGTCAATGTTCAACCCTTTCAATTGCAGCTAAACTATATAACATCCACTGAGCCGGGTGTTGTGTTGTTCAAAGCGGAATCGTTGCAATGCCAAGTATTTTTGAATCCAGCCCACATGCAATCTCTACATATGAAAATTTCACCGTTGCCAGCCGAGGCTGGAAAGCCAACCGTTCAGTGGAGCCCAGAAGAGTTACAAGTGATAGAGCAATTCTTTGATTTCCGAGTGGCGGCTCCACCATATCGACCGTCCACATTGTGTGGTTTCGGTAAAACATTGACGTTGCCACCGATTGTGCTGAAGGATGTTGTACAGTTGATGCGATTGGATTTGCAGCCCGAACTCCTGCAGCCGGGTGCTAAATGGAATTTACAACTATGTATGCGTGTACCACCATCAGCGTCATCATTTCAAGTGGTTCCCGTTGGAAATGCGGGCGTTTTGACTTGCCGCGAAAAAATTCTATTTTTCGTAAGTGAAAACGCAAAAATTCTATTATTCAATTGGTTTTTCTTTTTCATTTTGTCTTCAGCCAACGAAGTTCATACCGTTGTAGCTAAGAAAAGGCTGTGGAACTAATGGAAATTTTTGTTCTTTAAATTTCAGTTGCAATTGACACGCATTCCATTCATGCCTGGCATGGATTGGAAGGACTCTTTGACACTGGTGCTTCCGTTGGTGCATGTTGTTACCAAGAATTTAACACAACTGGTGAGCCGAGAGAATGTACAATCACCAATAGTGCATGCGGTCAATGAGCATCTCAAGCGATTCTCTGAATATACGGCGCACAGTGGTATTGTTGGTGAATGTTCATTGTTCCCTGCCGTGCGTGATCTTCTCATGAATTTCATTTTGCCAAATGAAATATCACCAGCGCTACCCAATCAAATTGTTTCATCACCGATGGGCGCCAGTCCCAATCCGATGATGCATTCACCGATGCAAGCAATGAATCAACCGGGCAATGCACCAACAATTGGCGTTCCAGTTCAGGGGCAACCATATGGCGGTATGGGTGGTGTGTAAAGAAAATCGCTCAAAATCTGTGAACAAATAATGAAAACAATGGAAAAAAAATTGCATGAAAAATCTTCCGTTCAATTACATCGATCCGTGTGAAATTCCCTTGTGGAACCAATGCGCCTTCACCACACACACATCAATGTCGTCAAGAATTCAGCGAATCAATTCACCACGACAAGGGAATACAAAACTTTAATTATTTAGTAGAAATATTTATTTTTAATACGAAAAATAACAAATAATAACAAAAACAACAAAGTAAACAGCGAAAAAAAATTGCATATTGATGAAATTGATTATTTCTATTTTAATATTTTAATAAAAATGAAATGTACAGATCAATTCGGCATGTTTTGTTATTCACAATTACAACATGGCGTGATTTTTCGTGTTTTCTTCTTTCTAGTGCCTTCAGATTTGATGATTACTTCTTGCTGAATAATATGTTTTGACATCAGCAATACATATTTTGATTTCAAAACAACAGCAACGGGCATATAGAGTGTTTTTCTGTTTGTGCGTAAATAAGAGCATGCAAAAAAAAAGTTATCATTAATTCTGTGTTGGATTGATGTATCCTGTGTTCAAGCCAACATTGTAGACTTCGTTTGATGTATCATTCATGTCGTTCGTGTCTCAATGCAAACAATCAGGGACAAAAAAAAGAGGAAGACAGCATACAGCTAGCGAACAAACGACGAAGCAAAAGTACGCTAATGTTAGACTTTGGTGGTATGAATGAAAATGTGATTTCGAAATGATTATTGTTATTATTATTTCAGTGGAACGGAATGCGGAGAGATGGATAAACTTAACGTACACAAACATAGGTCGAACTAAATTGGGGTTGAAGAAGAAAATGTACAAGAAATCAATAACAGGGATTGCAATACAACAAGAGTCTATCGATTCAAATTCAAAGCCAGCATGTATCATTTTGGAATGTTGTTTGTGCACGAGAAAACTTTGTACTGTACTATGCTATGCTAATTCATTTTCCATGATTGTCGAAAAAAAAACATTTGCGATGAATATGTATCACGAGACGAGGCAAAATCTATTGTACCGCTCGACATAAAATGCATTTGTGATCTTTTGTGTCGAGTGGCAGTATCTTTACGTGTATTCAGTCACACAGTCGACACAGCTTAGCTCATCGCCAACAAAAATATATTCACTGAAGCCAAGAAGATAAACTGACTAGATGTCACTAGACTGATTTTTCTTCTCTCTCTCTCTCTCTCTCCATCGTTTACCTCACCATTTTTTCACTCCATTCTATTTGAGCATTGATGAAAAAAAGCACGCAACAGAGTACGTCACAATGGATGATTGTCATTCTTAAAAAAAAACCTGAATCACACACAATTTCAAGCGGAAATTTTTGTTTCTGTATTTTTCTAAACTTTTATTTTTACAAAATCTGTTTTGGCGATTCATAAGCGCCTTAACGTCAGACACGACACATAAGTACATATTTGTTTTTGTTTCTGGAATCGTTTATGTTTTCTTTCTGCATTTTGATTCATGTATTTCGATCGCTTTCGTGTATCTCATCTTGTTGGATCTCATTCTGATGTCGGAGTCAAGAAGAAGAAGAAGGAAGAAAATATAAGAACATGTGATTCGTGTTCTATCATGTTCTTATTGTTATGTTTTCTTGTGTTTTCATTTTTCAATTTGAAAATATCATATTGTCAAGGATATTTTCGTGTGTGCAAGTTACATCAGTACATTTCCTGCGATACTACTGTTATTCATTTTAAATTTTCAATGTTATTTTTTTCTCCTTCACATTTTTGCACATTCACTTGGCCTTTTTGATCTGTAAAGTTTGTATGCATGTTGACTTGTTGACATTTCAGAACAGAGCGAGCGCGTGAATAACAGCAAAAAATGAATCAAAATACGATGAAGAAAAAACGACGGCATATCGTATTTATATGTTTTGAACTTGGACATGAAAGCATCTACAGCAAAACAGAAGTAGAAAAAAGTGAATAAATGCTCAAGCGAGATTCGTACGACTGGCAGATTAAACAAGCCAAGCAGAAATGGTGAGGCCACCCGGCCCGGCCGTACATTGGTTGCAAAGAACGTGCGAGAAAGTACATTAATTGTTCTTATTGGATGGTGTGACTAGCCAGGCGAGCGTACTCGCGCGCGCGCACACGGGTTACACGTTCAATATGATAAATACATGTTTTATAGATATTGTTCAATAATGTGTTACAACAGTCTAGACAGCGTTTCACAATCGCAAATAAATTTTATTGCTTGTTGCTCTGATCTTTTCACTCATCATCAAAAAGTCGAATCGATTGCAAAATAGGCTGAACAACAGCCAAAGAAAAGATTGTACGAACGAACAAGAAAAGTACAAGACAACCAGAGAGAGAGAGAGGAAGAGAAAATCAGAATCCAACGATAGAAATTCCGAATGTCGAATATTGAATACAGATGTTTTGTCAATCAGTCGTGCTCGCTCCCTGTATTTACCATTACATTGATGCTCTATTATTGCCGCTGAATGTGACCTCACACCCCCGGCTCAGCCATCTCTCTCTGTCTCTCCTTCCCACACCGTTGATGCGTCGCCTACGTTTTTCTTTTGAATATTCCTTGCCTTTTAATTCAATTTTTCCCTTCTTGCACAAATAATATGTTTTTCGCAATTTTTTGCACAGCACGAAGAAGAAAAAGAGAAAATACATACACAAATGCTAACACTCCGCCTTATTTTCGCTTCCCTCTCGTGCTTCTATTGGAAAACATGATGTTTTCACATAGGTTACTTCAATTTTTATGCAAGAGATACGTAAACACACATACTTTTGAAACCCGAACGTATTGACATCATGCCAAATTGAATGTAAAATATTAATATAAAACATACCGAGCAGAGTAACAATGCCTGTACGAAGAACCATTGGCAATAAAACAAAAGAGATCTAAAATTGATGCTGGATATTTTACCTTTTTCTGTTAATCGAATTTGTTAAAGTGTCATTCATGTGTCGCGCCGCCAATTTGCGCACATTTTATCGGAGTTTGGGATTTTGATTTAAGAAATGCGGATTTCAAAATAAAATTTGGGAATTCGATCTATTGTTTTTCCCCGAAAATACCACGATTCCAAAGCGCACCGCCATGTGGATGAGATGGAAAGAGAGTGAGAGAGAGAGAGAAAGAGAAAAAAGGCGTTCGAGGAAGGGATCAAAAAATGGTTTGACCGGCTTCAGCAAATCATCAAACGATGGTGTGTATATGTTGTATCGCGTTTGAAATGGCTTCAAAAGGAGCATAGCACACACACACACACACGCTCGTCACATTCCCACACGGAATCGTCAACAAACATACTTTTGTCTGTCAAATTGTGAAATGGCTAAATCAACATCTCTACCCTTTCCCCGGCGATATGGGATTGTAAAAGCATGTTGTTGATATTTTTAGGCACACCATGTTCACGGGACGGCTTCACATTTATGATGTTGATTGAAGAAATTGTGGGGCAGTTCTTTTTGTTGTTGCTCCTTTTTGGTTTTCCAATTCAATTGCGGGCCATTGAGAAGAGATCTATGAAATATTCGCTCGTTCTTACTTAGATTGAATGAAACGCAACCGCTTTCAACGTGACATAAAGAACATGTTTCATTTTCATTTTCATCGTCGCTGTTTGACTGTCACTCACACGTCGTAAACAACATACATATACAATGACAGTCATTTGTCAAGTCATTTTGACAAGCGTCGATGAAACTTTCACCGATTCTCTGTGTGGTGGAGTGTGCAGACGGCAAACAAGTTTTCTTAAAAAGTAAATACACTCCACTTTTCACCACACACAAGGATGAAGTGATATTGTAAATGACGCATGACGAAATGACTTCTACAATTAAGTCAATGTGTTGTTGTGTTTTTACATATGTATAACGAATAGTGTCAAATTACAACAACATTGAAATAAAAAACGACAGTCTAATCCTGAAACTCGTTCTTTGAATCATAAATAAATGACTCATTTGAAGCCCAATCCAATCAGACACACTACTTGAAAGCACAGATCAACTGCGAAAGCCGGCATTGATTGATTAATTATAAACATTGAGTTGAAGCAAAATAAAGAAAACAAGGAGACAGAAAATAGTGAAAATGTAGCAAAAAAAACACACACACAGCTACGAGCGTAAGTAAATAATGAACGTAATGGCGAAATATAGCTCGTATCGCAACGATCGGCCATTATCCATTCAGCTGTTTCGTTTTTGTTTCTTGCGTTCTTTTTTCACGTGCTCGCATCATTCGGTCTATTCGGTCTCGTGCAAACTTAAACGACCCGTAATTGAAGTCATAACGATAAACATATTAAATAGTCTTATTTTGAGACGATACGAAACGAGAGCATAGTTCCCGTTGTGCGCTCCAGAATTGTATGGTGTGTGTGTGCATGTGTGTTGTTATGTATGGTTCGTGGCCCTTCAAAGTTTGAAACTCAAGCAAGAGCAAAAGCACAAGAAAAATAAATGAAACAAGAAACTCAAACGCCACCACCTTACGTAATCTTCATCGAGCGCATCTAATGCCAACATCTTCTCGCATCGACACAACTCCTCGTCATGTTCCCTTTCCTCTAGTTTCTTCTTTATGTGCAACGCTTCTTATCGCAACGAGACGAAGGCGACGATAGAAATAATGAAATAGAAAAAAAAAACAGAAAAAACTCTGAAACACAGTCAATAAAATGTCTCGCATAGACATCACATACAATTTATTTATTGCGAGTGATTATTACTGCTCAATTTTCTCTCTTTGCCTCTCTATGCACGTTATTATTGTTATTATCATCATCGTTTTTTTTGTGTGTGTGCACGATTTTTCTATTGAATTGTATGAGAACATTGAATGTCAAAGATCAGCCAGTCGGACCACACTCATATCCTAAAAAAAATCGACGGCAACGAATAATCCGAAATATGAGATGCGAGTCATTGCGAAGCGACCGACGACGAACACAGAGAAAAAAAAACTCGTCCGAGAGAAGAAGATGGGGAAAAAACAAAAATAAAATCAAAAATAAATTTCAAACGGAGAAAACTGATAACCAAAACCACGATAAGTATCTTCTCAAATGGTTGGTTTCGGTATTGGTTCGCATCCGAGTTGTATCAGTAAGTGCTGTTTAATACTCATGTTAGGACGATATTCAATTGGGTTTGCGCATTTGGTTTTATTTGCCAACTTTGTTTTCAGCAATTAAATTCATAAACGGATTTGTTTCGTTCGCATTTTATGCGCAGTCGACCGAAGGACAGAGGGAAGAAGTGGTGTGGCAATTTAACGAATCGTACGGGGACTGTGTACGTGTGTGTGTGTTTTGTACACGTTTTGCACTTCTCTAGTTTCAATTTGAAGTTCATTTTTTTGTTGTCTCAACTGGAATTCTCTGAATCAATATTTAATTCCGTCTTTTAAAACCAAATCCCAATCCAGATTTAAAGTGCACAGCATCGAACACACACAAAAAATAACAACAAAGAGACACAAATTATCGACCAAAACAAAAATAATATGGCAAGCAATAAGGAAATGGTTGTGAATTCGGTGAATTTCGAAAAACAGAATGGCACGAACGAAATCAACCAGAAGAATCGGAATAAAAGATTATTTACATGGAAAACTGTAGCACTCATTTGTGTAATCAACGGTAAGTGTTCTCTAGATCAATTCTGAATGGTTTTCACCTCGTTTCACTTGGTTGTGTATGGCTTTGGTGAGAGTAATCAATTTTTGCACTTATTGAACTTTTGAGTTCGGCTGAGGGCGTAAAAGGAGTGAGAGAAAGATAGTGCAATAAGACAATAATGAAGATTGGTTGGCACAACGTGCATTAAAATAGTTGGAATATTGTTTTAAAATACCCCGTTCTCTGAATGTGTCTTATTTATTATATTGAATATTTTATGTATGTCTGTGTTATTTAAGCGACACAAAATCGGAACAATTATTGCTAATTCTCATCTTGTCGGTCTTTTCCATCGCTCTGTCATTCTCTTTGCCCCGGCTTTCATCTCGACCTAGTTCGGCATCAACTAAGTCTTCTGTGCACGGTGTGTTTGTGTGTATGTGCACCACATCCATTACTCATTCATAGTGTCTCCGGTTGCTAGGATATGATAATAGTGATTGATAAAGCTTTCACAATTTCAACCAGTGTTGATGACTCAATTCCAATCGTTCAAGATTCTTGCCATTTATTTAGCTAGTTGAAGGAATAATGAAATTAGAGTAAACACCTACATAAATAGCTTTAAATAATCAGGTTATCGACGTAGCTATACTTCCATTTTTAGCCACAATCTCTTTTTCTCTGTTTCTCTCCCTCTCACATCCAACTTTTCATTCTATCTCCCTCTCTCCATTGAACACGATGCCATCGCATCGGTATTCCTGCAGTTCTGCATAATATATGATTAATTAATTAATATTGAAATAATCAAGCCTTTCGTGAAATATTCGTGCGTACAAATGGAATGTGAAGAAGTGCTTGAAACTAAATATCATCTTTTGTTTATCATATACACCGAAAACATTTCACAACAAAAGCGATTCAAACACACAGCAGGCAAACAAATAACAAACACTGACATTTTGAATTTCGAAACTGACATTTTACTCGCATTCGCAAATGATTCGCTGTGAATCGATAGTTTTGGTTAAATCGAACGCTCAAATCAAATATTAGAGTTTTGGAAAATGCACTTCAAATAGCACGTCCAAAGCGAAACATCAATAAAATCGATAAGCGATTCAGGAATGCGATGTACGAATTGACAGCGAAAAAAAAGAGACAACATGTTTGCGAATTGATTCATACGGTATAAATTTACTGCAAGCGACATTAAAGAACAATCGAATGGTAAAGTGGATTTTCCATTGGAAATTGTGACAGTAGTTTGTGTTGCAGCATTTATCTCTATTGGATTCTATTTCACCATTGAAATGAATTTGCAAACAGTAATGCCCATAATTTCTAATAATCAGTTCCTATTTGATTGCGATTGAAAGTTATCTAGAGAATGTTTTTTTTTCGTTTCTTCATTTAATTCGCGTTTCGGCAAAAGTTAGAACAAACTTCTCCGAAAATAACCGCGAAGCTAAACACGTACACTCTAATATGAAATCGCAAGATAGGAATTAAATTTTATGAAATTACATCAAGAAAGTTATTATTTTCACTTTGGGACCAGTGAATTAAAAGTTATTATACGCGATAGCTTTATTTTGTGCTGTATCTGTTTAACCATTACTTTCCTATTTATAGGAAGAAGAAAAAACAGCATTTCTGCAGATAATCGTTATTTAAACTTTATTTTCATATTGTTGCGGTGCGGATGCCGCACTTTATTCATTTTTCATACGAGATATTTGCAACTGCATTAACCAAAAATTACTTGCCAAAACAACTAAAACAATTTATATGGGGGTCGGTGGTTCTATACTCATCTTTTTGTCTTATTTCTTCTTCTTCTTTCGCTCGCCCGCCATAAACGATGGGAGTGTTTGTGCGTTTCGACTGAAATTATATTATCTAAGAAATGGGTCACAAGGTGATAAATGATCTCATTTTTATTTCATGTTTAACGATTGGACTAATTTTAAACCAATCTATGTTTATTTTGCCTATGCTGCTGACTGGACGGTTTTTTTCACTCTCTCTATCTCTATCTCTGTGTGTGTTGCCTTAATAAGGCAATGGCTTATGTACAAATGAATGAAAAATTCGGTCGACTGGCGGGCGCAACAGGGAGCATATAATTAGAACGTATATTAATTTTGATGTTTGTTGTGTTACATTAATTATGGCATGAAAAAAATGGTGGAACATTCAAAAATATCACCAGGAAATAAGGTTTTTTTTTTTAATTGATTTTCATCATATCATCGTATTATTCGCTGTTGTCATTCGTTTGCAAAGTCAATTGACAGCGACCGATTAACGATTGATCATTCATTACGGGCGCGCCGCATAGTAAATGCGACAATCATTTCCTCCCTTCTCTTCTACTCCCTTGGCCCATTGTGTGTATGTAATCACAATTACAGCACAATGATATTGCTGATTATGATATTTTTAATGCGCAGCATTCAGAATTGAATGTTGGCCACCTACAATGTGAGCATTTTAATTAAAATTCCCATTTTTAATTTTCACCGTTGTTGTTATTGCTTTTTTTCAGCATCGCTTGGTTTATTTGGAAATGGTTCATTTGTCGGTTGGACGTCGTATGCCATGGATGGCAATCTTGATGAGACGGTAAGTTTAACCATTCAGAAATAGTTCTGTCTGTTTTCCATTCATTTCGTTCGCGTTTTTATTCTCGTCTTTTATCCAACATTTTCATGAAAATGCGCATAGCTTCGAATGAAGTTCATGCAACCTCGGCCAATTCATTTTTAAGATAACCGCTCAACCAATTTTGGCTTTATAACAACAACACAAACATAAATGTGGTCGATAATGTTTTTATAAAATGAAATTACGATTTTTTGATTGCTTATTTTAATACAGACAAATACGTATCGTTGTCGGTTATCCCCATTTGAAAATCGGTGACGCAAACATATCGTAAGGGCACGAACGGAATATAAAGTAAAATGCTAGCGACGCATTTGAAATTCGATAATACAATTTTAAGACTTGCTTATTTCGAAGGAAAAGCATAGATTTTGGCCACTGTCTAACTCGGTCTCTAGCTCGTTCAAATACACCTTTCGTAAAAACGACAGTTGAATGCACGCCACAGCCACACAGCTAGACATGCAGTTTTTTCTCCCTTGTTCTCCGTATGTTTGGCGTTTCTTTCGAAATTCATACTGTCGATAGACAAACAATGCAAACGTTTCAATACAATTATGATACAATAATAATAAAAGTTGAGTTACTCGAAATCGGTCGGATGCCAATGTCGCGAATAATTTGACTTTTCTCTTAAATGTGTATGTGGTGGTTGAAAGTAACGAAAATGGCATTGGCTCTTGTTCATTTGGTTGTCGTTTGTTTGCGTTCCTGTCCTCGTGCACACTGAAAATGGCTTTGTTGTCGGTGATAAGCGAATGCTGAATGTCTGTTTGTTGGCTGCTTTTTTCTATTACTTCAATATGTTTCGTTGAATGCTTTTCATTCGGCTTCATCGTCAATAGCATGAAAATTACGTGAATGCACGCTATTTTAAGACAGTATTGATGATCAGTCGCACACACTTTCTATCGTTCTCTCTCTCTCTCTCTCTCTCTCTCTCTCGAGTTGTGTTTGCTTCTCAATTTTTCTTTCGAATTGCACTCAAAATCGATGCTCAATGTAGTAAATGGAATTAACGGAAAAGCCAAACAACCATCAGATTTGAGCGGATGAATCGTCGTGTTATTGCCATCATTCTGATTTTTTTTCCTTCTCTCGCTCTGTGTATATTTTTTTACTTCTTTTCTTCGGTATACCGACGAACGTAAAGATTTGAATAGACCTATAATCCGATATAGTGAAATCGTGACAAATTTGATTTGATTTTTATTTTTGCGTGCACTTGCCTGATACACAAGCTGATCACATTTATTCTAATTCATTTTCTTGATTGCATTTCGTATTTACCTTTTGCCGAACGAAATATATACGGTATGTATATATAGCCCGCCCAAATTAGACTGGCCTCCTGGATTTGGGGAATACACTGAAGAAAAAGGAAAAAAGAATTTGCGAAAGAAGGTGTGCAGGCAAGAAATATAAGAAGGAGAAGAAGAAGAAGAAGAAAAAAGTCGCTCACAAAATTGTTGATGCTATTTTTGGGGACGAAAACTCCGTTTTTTACATGTTTGAGTGTTGATTTTATGCGATGAAATAATAAATTGAATAAAACCTTGAATCGGCAAAAAAATATCCATTTACATTTCGGCAAATCGTATTTAACGCTATTTCTATGACCTTGTATTGATATGAGACTCGGAATTTTTTTTCGTTAGCATCAACGATGTAAAATTGGGCTGGTCGGTCTGTTTCCTTTCCATTTCGGTTTGTATGACGAAAACCGTGCGAAATAAGAAGCGATAAAAGCATCGGTTTAGATTTAAATTAAAAAGAAGCAAAAACCAAAACTTTCTCTATCGAACATTAAAATTTACTTAGAGAAACCAAAGAGCTAGCCAATCACTTCGTTTTTTTTCTGCATTGCTTTGTTTTCTTTTGATTGAAACGTTGCTGTGCCACAGTAGCTTGTTAATTAATTTCTTCGTGAATCGCTTGATGCGTTGCACAGCGCTGAGAAAAACCCAAGATGAGAAAGGAGAAGAAAAAAAAAATCACAAACAGCACACAATTGAATTGAAATGAGCCAGCCAATGAAAAGCTCAGCCATGCAAAAAGAACACAATCAAACAATTTCGATGTCATTGTCGCTAGGATTTATAGAAAATTTGCCGCTGTACGAAAAGCACACATTCATAAAAAAAAAGAACAAAAGTGCCCACTGTTTTGTCTAGCAACTAGAATGAACCGAGAGTGACAGAGAGAAAGAAAAACAGTCGCAGAAGAAAAATAACGAGCAATGCTTGAAATTTAAATGGAAAAAGTTAATGCGGTCATTTCGATAATAAATTTACCGATTCAAAATCGCATTTAAATTCACCGAGCCGGTCGACTGCGATTCGGTATCGTTTCGACGAGTGGATTATTTTCATTTCCTTTTTTTCTGTCGTCGTCGCCGTCGTTATTGTTGTTGTTGTTCATTCTGTTGACAAAAAAAAACGAGCAACGGAAGAAAAGCGAAGAAGAAACGGCGCGGAGCAGAGGAGAGAAAAAAACGCACCAGACGATTTGACTCTTTCGGAGTTTTTTTTGTTCATTATTTGTTCAATACGTTTTCATGGAAAGTTGTTTTCAATATCACTTCGCTCGGTGAACTCATATTGAGATTAAATCGTGAAATGCATATGACGGTCATTGAACAATTGAACAGCTAGTTTAAATAGAATCTATTGGCTTCTTCGGCGACTTCTCTTTTCACTTGGGCACACTTTTTAAACTCTACTCGAACCACTTGAAAGTGCATCTGGACGTAGTGTCGCCGAGACAATCATTTTTTTTTGTCTTTTTCGCTTCGTCTCTTCTGATATCGTCATTGCTCATTTTTGTAGCACAACCGATTGACGATATTTTGTTCATGTGTATGCATGTGCGAGTCCACATTCGCGCTTCTGTGTTCAAACCGATGAAATCGAAATTAGTTGATTCGTAATTTTTATTTACGAGCACGAGCACGAATAACGAATTCCTACGTAATCGTCTAGACGAGTGAACGTTGCCCAATTTACGAAACGAGCGTGTACAACATGCTTCAGTTATCAATACCGCGTAAACGTCAAGACCGCGGCCAACTTTATTCCAAGTAGTGCGATGTTACACAAAACACACATCACAGAATAAACCAGACCAGTTGAAAAAAAACTTCGCTCTATCCTCTCTCTCTCTCTCTCTCTCTCTCTCTCTCTCTCTCTCTCTCTCCCTCTCTCTATGTGAGTGTGTGAATGTTTCCCTTTCACCATAATTACAAAATAAAATTGTACTTTGATTATGGCATCGACTCATTGTGTTTGCTTTGCTTTTTGGTGTACACTTTTAGTTTACGCCACAGCAGAAATGGCATATATTTTCAGTGATTGGTTTAACAGCGGCACTCGGACCGTTAATTATTCATCAAATATGGCATTTTGTCGGATCGAAGCGTTTCATTTTGATGGCCAACTTTTTGATGGTTGTTGCATGGATTCTTGTCATGGTTTTCAGGTAGGTGAAATTTTATTATGCAAATTTTCTATTTAATTATTTTGCACCCAATTGAATAATTGAATCCGCGAAGAGTAACAGAGTGGTGGAAATAGAGGACACACACCATTCACTAGATTTGATTGATTTCGTGCGTTTTGTTGCGCTTTTTATTTTTGTTCAATTCGTTTTTATTCGGTTTACAGGGAGAACTATTTGATTTTTTTGGTGGGTCGTGGCATTGGCGGACTTGCCGTCGGAACACTCCATTTCCTGATTCCGCTCTACATATTCGATATCGTTCCTGTCCATCAACAACCTTTGTGCCATTCAATTATGCAACTGCAGTTCGTGCTCGGGATCTTGTCGCAGTACATTCTGAGTAAGTATTGGGAAAAGAACAAGGAAAAGAGAGAGAGAGAGAGAGAGAGAGAGAGAGAGAGAGAGAGAGAGAGAGCGAGAGTGAGAGAGGAAGGGCGGGAGAGTTTGCAACCCGCTTACCTACCTTAAGGTGATGGTGTTGCTTTTAGCACTTTCGAAAATCGATTGCAATTTTTATTGTTTTCACTTTGAATGGGGTGCTAAAATCCGACCGTATTTATTACGCTCGATTGACATTGGCAAATGTGGCCATGAATTTGAATGAACCAATGCTATTAGCGAATTAAAAGCACTAATTTTGCACGCTGCATTCTCGGATTTATGCCATTTTTAAGCGAAACCAGCCAGTTAATCGCTCATTAATTATTCAGGATGCTTCATGTTATTTTTATCACCGGCGATTAAATGCTTGTACTCCAACGTATAAATATTCAACTTGAATATATCTTCGCATTCGGTCACATAAATGTTAATGAAGAAGTAGAAGGAGAACGGGTGAGGAATGAGAAGCATTGGAACGAACATGCTCTACACGACAGTAGAAAAGGAGCAAATTTTGTTATCTATTTCGTCATGGCGGAATTAAAGCCATTGAACAAAAGTGTAAAAATATTTTCGAACAAGTTTCTTACTTCAATTGCAAACAGTTTTTTCTCTCTCTCGTGAACTCGTTGAATTCCATTTAATCGTAGTGCTCATTGCCGATTCAATTTTGTTGATGGAATTTTTTTTTCGGTGTCGAACAATTTTTCAGCTAAATAGCGTCGTGTTTTCATTATTCCAACATATCGGCAATGGACAAAAAACCCGAGTAAAATTCATTTCCGATCGTTGTCAAGTGTTGGCAATTTACCGATCTCATTAATGATTTAAATTATGCATGAATCTTGAGCCCAAAGAAATTGAAAGCAATTCATCTTGTGAGTGCGATTTTTGTTCGGATTTCGTCGAATTACCGACGAGATTTTGACGATATCTCAGAATTTTACATTGACAAAAAAAAAAAAAACAAACATTCGGGCAATATACATTTTAACATCGTGCGGCGTGCCATTGATACCGCATTTCAATACGTTGATGCGATTTGAGCCACGGAGAAGCTATACGAAAAAGCAGGAGCAACAACAGCATTGACTCGGGCATAGCATTAAATTTGGGAATTTTGTACATGGCCACAACGCTCCGTGTTGTACCTGAAAATACATGATTTGTTTAACCAATTTGGTATGTGTTGCTTCGATGCCTCGGCATGTTTACACATCGATGTGTTCCTTGCAAATAATATCTAAATTTATGGTGAGAATTTGTTTTCATATTTTCATCTAAGCATGGAAAAATATACAGCAGTTAAATCAGAAGGTGAAGAAGAAAAAAGCGCACGACGGCGACGATGACGACTCTTTGTAGCCTCTTGTGATAAAGCCGTAAGGTGAAAAGTCAAGTGGAACGAAAATTTCGTTTGGTACTTGACTCCTTGTTGAAATATTATGATTGTTGTTTCTGTGCTGCCGCTTCGATTGTGGCTCTTAAAGCCAAAGTGGAATCACGGATAAGCGAATGCTTTATAAATCTTCTCATGCAATAAAATTGAAAACGCTCATTTAACTCAATGGAGTGTATTTCGTTGTGTTTTCATATCACGCGCGCGCAATGAGCGCTCACTCGCTACCTCGCTTGCCTTTTTTGTTTCATTTCCAAACAGAAAAATTCGCTGCTTTTGCCAAACAGCCAATACTGCTGTTGTTCTTGTTATGTTCGTTTACATTGCTGCCGAAAAATTTATGTACCAATCGTTAGAAATCTATTGCAACTATAGCACTGTGTACCATGTGCACACGAAGGGAAAAGCCAACACGTCACCGTGGTAAAAGATTTAATGGGCGCTTTGTTTATGTCGTGTAATTCAAGACGTTTTCGTCGAATAACTGGGAAATTTTCGACGAACTCGAGAATTTTGTGGTTTATTTGAAACAATGTTCAATGTCGAAGAGATTAAATGAATTTGAATAGAGAATGGGTGGAGGGAGAGAGGCGTAGATAGAGGGGGAAAAAATGAATGAATAAAATATTTTGGACTTGTTATCCCCATTTCATGCGAACCGAACCCTTCGATCGATATATCAAGATGAAAACATAAACTCACTTAAAGCAAACAACATCGTACCAGGTCTGGTCTGGCCGGTTGACAAAAGGTGCGTAGTTTCATGATGATATAGCTTCTTTTTTACTCCTCATATCGCACTTCAATCACTGAAAAAAGTGCATTCCACGGCAGACATATTCGTCGTCTCAAAGCCCAATTGAGCAAAACACAGCGTTTAAATTATGTCGCATAAAGATACCAATCAGTGTGCTAAATTACGTAGTAGAGCTCAATCACTGATCTTGAACATTGCCATAAATAAATTTTCGATGTTTCACGTTAAAACCTCCCGAATGACTTTTAGATCCATTCGACACGGTGCGAAAATGTGTACAAAAAGTGCTGATAAGCCCTGAACGAGCATCAAATTCGAAATAAATAGACATGCACACATATACACACACACACATACGAAGCAAAGTTCGTATTTTTGGCAAATTCTTCTGCTCTTGAACTGTGGATATCAGACAGTTAAGCGAGTCTCGAGTATGAAGCATACATTGTGTCATCATATTGCGCACAATATACTGAAAATGAGGCACCACACAACAATGAAAAAGCGAAAATGCTAAAAATCTCCATTTCTTTTCCACACACACACGCTCTATACGATAACTTTCTATTCATCTTTCAAGTAAAAACTAGCGAAAAGTGTTACGAAATATTTATTTAACATCAAAAGTTTTCCACCGAAAACTCTTCGCAAAAACTTATTTGCAAGAATGTATTTTTGTCACATTGTCTACGCTATTTTGCCATTGTCATCGTTGCAATTTTATGTTTACTCTCGTTGTTGCCTGTTATTTATTGTCAACGAGTATGACTGTAACGAGTAGGTTGATGGTATCGATCAATGTATCGAAGAGTAGTAGTGGGTTTTTGTTGAGCTTTGACTTTTTCGACTCGACTATTCGGCACTGTCGCTCGAACAAAACGCAACGACATTATTCATTTACTCTATCTCTCTCTCTCTCTCTCTCTCTCTCTGTGTGTGTGTGTGTGTGTATGAGCAAATACGAACAAAACTGAATAAATAAGCAGCGAAGCAAAAATACTTCGAGTAATAATAGTAATCCTTCAAATGTTTTTGACTGCAGTACGCACATAGCAAAAAAGCGATGACGTGCGAGCACGTAGTAGCAAGACACAAAGAGAGTGGTGAAAAAAAATCGTGCGAATGGTTTTATCACCGTTATTTACACTTGACGTTTTTACCAGCAGCAAAATCTAGTCTGCATAATGATTCAGAAAGGATATAAAAACATTACCAACCACTTTTTTACACGTTATTTTACCACATGCGGAGACTTTGTAGCGCGTCGAGATCCATTATTGCTGTGTGACTCTTTGAGCTAGCTTAAAATGGCAAAGCCGAATGATGCAATAGAGAACGAAAGTGTGAAAAAGTGCGAAATGGAAATTTATTGAACATTAGAGGATTTTGAAAATTGTACCCAATCATCCCATCCATTTGGATGAACGGTGTGGCGGAACAAGTCAGAAATAAAAAGACTCGAAATCGCATATGGCACTCCGAAACGAATATGGTGTATGGCATTTGGAATCAGAGCAAGATGACAGAATTTCACAAACACATTTCGGGTCAAAATATTCAACAAGTAAATCCAACCAATTTTGCTTATGCAAAAAAGACGCTCCGTATCGACACTCACACACTTCCATCATCTTGCCACCTTTTTGCCACTGTTCGTTTTGTTCTTCTACTTGAGACATTTTCACAAGCAATATTTGCGTCATTGTTTTTTCAACCGGTTGGTTCCACATGTCTGCGCATCAGCTAAAAATGCTCGCATATCGAATGTTTACCGTCACATTTGTCACTTTTTCCATTCTTTCTTTCCATCTCTTGCTCGTTCGACGTATATTTTCTTTCGTTTTCGTTCTCCGAATATTTTCATACAATCAATTCGAAAACAATGGCAAGAACGCCTGTGATTACGGGTAACATTTCTCAAACATTCAGATCCTTAATCTCATGTGTAACAACAAACGCTACCATGAAAACCAAAATAAAACAGTCACGCACCGCATTCGCTTTATTTTTGCCTCTATATCCTTCGGTCTTACAAGAGGAAAAAAACACAAGGAACAAGAGGAAGAAGAAGAGAGAAATCTCCTTTCGGCGTTTATTTGTTCGCCTTGTGATGATGATGATGATATCAAAACACTAATAAAAACCAATGTCTGCCATTGCATTTGAATGTCAAGGAAGTTTTGTTTCTTCTCTGGCATTCTCTGGTTGTTAGGCTGTTAATTGGTTTGTAAACGCTTTCGAAAATTAATAGATTTTTTTTGCCGCCGTTCTGCTTCTCACTCCCGCACTTTTTCGTCTAAACACAAAAACGTAATATAAGAAGAATTCAAGGCGGAGTAATTAATTTCGAGAGAATGACCACGACCTTGATGCTTTTATGTATGCCATTTTACACATCAAAGAGGATTCCGTGCCGCACACACTATTGCGTCCATCCATTGATGCCAAATGATGTAATATAATGTACGTAAAACTGACATATCTTTTGAACAGAATGCTCTAAATAATCGAAAGAGAAAAGTAAACGAAGACGAGTGCAGGAAAAAAAGCATAGATGATGACAGCGGCACCCACTGTCGCCGTCGTTGCCATCGTCTCAAAGACAGACACACCAGTCTATTTCAAGACAAAAAGCCACAACTTTGATTTTTGTAATTAAGCTAGCCGTAACGAGCTGATTTTCATTGACTCGATCGCGCTACGCTTCAGCTGTTGATTGCGATGAAAATATCAAAATAGCACATAAACACAATTAAATTGCTGTTGAATAATTCCTGACTTTGGATCAAAGCGTTGCCATGTGATTCACCAATCCCCACATTCGATGTAACACATTTAAAAAATGTGGGCAAACAAAGCGAATGATAAGAAAAGCGTATCATATATGTAGAGGGGGTGGCGACGTCGAAAGCGAGAATGCTGAAAGTGTATGTGTGTGTGTGTGTGTGTGTGTGTATGTGTGTATGTGTGACTATTCGAATGGAAGCCGTGCCGTTGAGTGATGACCTGAGAAATAAAAATCTCGTCGGAAGATGGAAACTTGTTGAATGCAGCCATTATTTCGCGCTGATGCCACAATTCATGCCACACTCTTCACTGTCAATGTCTGATTCGGCCATAATTAATAACACTTGATTATTATCGAAGCTGTTATTATTGGTTTGAAGTAGGTTTATAAGGTGTATTCAATAAAATGAAAACGCCATCGTTCGTAAATACCGTATTTAAAATACGAGGCTCCTCTCTAGAAAAATATTGTCGTTCATTTTTTTTGTTATTTTCATTTTCGGCCATTGATATTATTGCAACCATATTTTATGTTTTTTTTCGTATCTTTTCTCTTTCTTTTTCGGCCCGCATCATGCCGTCTCCTTTCCTCGATGTGTTGTGGTTTTGGCTTCCATTGTTGCCATTGTTGCCATAGGTTTGTTCAAGAGTTTTCTGATCATCGATTTATTGCCGGCAATTACGTCAGCGTTGCTGTTCATAACATTTTTTTTCATGCCGGAATCACCACGTTATTTATCGATACGCGGCGATGCGGAACGGGCCAACGAGATTCTAGTGAAATTCAAAACAGACGATCGTGCCGTACAGAATGATTTGCAATTATGGACGAGTGCCCATCATAAGGTTGGCTATTTATCAGCGTTCAAGGAAGAATTCAATATTGCGTACGCGATTCCAGTGTTTGGCCTATACATTTTTGAACAACTTATCGGTGCGGTACCAATACTGTTCTATCTTCAGAATATATTTAAATTGGCCGGTAAGAAAATTTTCCATATATACATATATATATAGAGAGAGAGAGAGAGAGAGAGAGAGAGAGAGAGAGAGAGAAGTCAACGAGTGGCTGATAATTGCAATTTGATACACTTCTTCTTTTTTTCTCTTATTTTTTTCCCGCATAGCATGTGAAAGTGTTCTCTCTCGCGTAGAATGTGAATTTACGCCCGAAGTTTCAACCATTCTGTGTGTCACCGTGTTTGTAGTTAGTATTCTTGTGCCGCACTTCTTTGACGATCGTAGCATTAACATAAAAGTCAGCCTAATGTGGTCAACGAATGTGATGGCTGCCATTCTGGGAGTGCTTGGTCTCTATTGTCATTTGCATGGTTCATTTGCGCCCAATAACTTCGAAGATATTCGTTACATACCGTTGATATGCCTATCGCTATTCTATTTTCTATATGCTACCGGTCCGCAACGGCTTTCGCACGAATATGCTGAAAAGGTCATTCCGAAAAAATGCTACTTCACCATGCGGTGTATGCTCGCAACCACCAGCTGGTTTTTGATATACGTCATAACAAGAATGCTACCGCAACTGATTGGCCACATCGGAGTCGGATGGTTGTTTTGGTTTATGGCGGCAATGTGCGTTCTTATGTCCGTCTTCGTCAAATTATTCGTGGCTGATCTGACCAAAGTGCCCGAAGAATCTCGTTTGGTTGACAACAGCAGTGAGAGTAACAGCGAAGCCTAAATTCAGCCCGCCGAGCAAGTGAGTGAATACGCGCGCGAAGATGAACATTAAAGCAAATTACATAAGGGGATGGGAGATACGGAACGTAAAATAAAAATACAACAAAACGGAAACGATACAAGAATACCAAATCACTGCCCTTTGGATGTTTAACACTGGAAGGCAACACATAATTAAGAACTTTAGTATGCAATGCAAAACAAAAACCAACACTCTTGTGTGTTGTTGCAGAAGAAGAAAAAGAAGGGCAAGCTAGCGATAGCAACAACATCAACTAAATTAGAAGCGAAGCGAAAAAAAATTAAACAAAAATTGAACAAGTGAACTTTTTAACAAGACTGATACATTTTAGACACTTGTATTATTAAGTTGTTTTTGTTGTTGATTCCTAAGACAATTAGAAATGAACAACGATTACGAACGAGCTAAGACATTTATGGGCACGGCAATTTTCAGGTGTATGTGTGTGAGTGTATGTTACGGCCCAGTGTGAGAATTTGAAATATCATGAATTTATCATTTAGAGTTTTAAGGCAATAAAAAATATATACATTTAAATACTTTGATCGTATTTGGGAGCTTTTTTTGTTTTGTCTTGTGTTTGATTTGAGCGCTTATTGACATGCCTTCAACATCGTTCATTACACTGATTTTTCTGGTGCGGTAATGGGAAAGTGGAAAATTTGTTGGCATCAACAGCCATTTTCGTTTCGATCAAATTCCAAAACCAGCAAAATGTGGTAAGCAAACGCTATTGTTTCCAATCATCAATATTGTGTTGTAATTAGTTTTCGTTTATTCCACGAATCCCAACAGAATGGGGTAATATGCCCCCGCAATCAGCTAAAAATAGGCACCAGCGCGTGCGCGTGGTTATGTTTATCCAACGGAATGTTAATTTTGATACCAAAAACAACATGATTTGATAGTTTGAAAAGTCTTATAACTGCAGCAAATGAACGCAATTAACGGAGAGAAAATATATTTATATAGGTTCGTATGTCATATACATATAGATTTTGTAATCCTGATAAGGCGTAATGCATGCATTTCCATTCGACGAAATGCTAACGAAGTCGTTCTCTCTCTCTCTCTCTCTCTCTCTCTCTCGCTTGTTCGCTCTCACTCATTTAATCAAGAAATAAATGCGAAAATCAATTTTATCATGATTGTTGGTGCGACTTTCCTTGAAAGTCCATTATGTCGAATTACAAAATAATTGGCGAAAATTTTCGCAGCAAAACGTATAAATGAACAAACGAATGAACGAGCAAATGCCAACTATATCTATGCAATAACCATTTTCCCACGCAACAAACGAACAAGCGTTCACGTCCGCCTGCCCGATGCATGGCAACGTCGATCCCCATGTTCCTTTCATTTAATTGCTTTTCACGTGCGATAGTTCCAGCTTGATTGCTGTAGTTAGTTACGTTTAAATTTTACTGCGCAGCCGGTAAAACATTTTTTTTTATGAATTTGTTCAAACAAATGTTTTCATAACACTTAGACGTAAGTAGAATTTTCGGTGCTGTTTTTTTGGTGAAATTTCTCCGCATAGTGGAGGACGATACAAGAGTAACAACAACAGCAGCAGCAACAGCAACCATAATAATAATATTATATGTTTGCATTTTCTGCCGTGTATAAAGTGTACACAGTACACACTGTACATACCCAAAAGCACCCTGTTTACTGAGGATTCTTCGGTGGATATTAATTTAATTTAGTGTATGAAACTTTAAATTGGTCATGTTTGTTAATTAATCCTTTGCCATTCATGCAACGTAAATGTTTCCATCTGTCTTTTGTAGTTTTGGTGGTTGGCAGCACGTTTCGGAAGAATGGCCGAAAGGGAAGGACAGAGAGTGTGAGAGAGAGAGAGTGTAAAAGAGACATATAGAGCAGAGACAGCTTATGCAAGAGTCAAAAGCACTTAAGGATGAATTAGTAATATTACACAATGATGTCTTTTAAACGAGAATAAAACAAATGCTGACATATGCTCTATGTTATTTAAATGCTAGCGTTAGCTTTAGCTCATTCAACCCATTCAATCAACCAGAATAAAGCTTCATCTCTCTCTCTCTTTTTTCTCTTTCTCTCCATTTGCACATACGTTTATATTAACAGATCAATTTGTTCAAACATTAGAATCGATGTTTGCTTAATGTGTCGATGTTTTCGGTGTACTTTATGCTGTGCCAAGGATTAAAGTGCAGCGCATTCCAATTCGCGCTTTATCCATTTCAATTGCGAAAGCGCGTCAGAAGCAAAATAAGTACTTACTTCTTCCGCTTTTACAGTTCTAGCGAATATTATGGTTACTATTATTGTTCTTACTGCCCTGATAATCAATGGCATACTCGTTTCCATTCTTGATGAGCAATAGGCAGAGCCAGAGAGAGAAAGAACGAAAACGAGATAGAGAGAAAGGGAAAAAAAGACATTTCAATGTGAATATGATTCAATTCAAGCCGACTGAATGACTTTAATTTGATTCTCTATTTGCATCTCAAACAGTTTGTGTATAGTGCAATCAAGTTTGTTGTATGCTTAATTCGATTTGCTCAAAAATCTTCCATTCATTTGTGTATGCTACACTTACCATGTTGCGGTTGTATCAATGATGCCATATGCATTTGGGTTTACCATTCAATCCAGAGCAAAACAAACCCTTTTCGCCTAGAGAGAGAGAGAAAAAAAAGCCTACAAAAAATGTGCTGCAATGAAGTGAAAACACCATTTTTGCACATATTTGTTCTCTATTCATTTATTTCAACACGCAATTTTCGACACTTGATAACGGCCGATTCATTTTGTTATTGTTGCCCCTGTATCCATATATACACACACACACATTTAACCGTTCATTTAATTTCGGTATTTAAAACGTTTAGCTCGTATTTTGTCCATTATCAATGTTACACGTCTTTGCGTATTGTCATCCATGGCCTGAATGGAAATTGATTACGTGGGTTGATCCAATTTAGTGGCTATCATTGAATAGGATTGCAGTTTTGTCTGGCCGAAACGCTCGATGATCCCGCCTGAAAGCCAAAATAAATTGAATTCTTCTATTTGACGAGAAAAACCATCCATTAGTAAAATCGATTGGCTAGCTGACATCGGCAATTGATTTTCCCTCCTTTTTTCGTATATCCAAAGGGTAATGTTTGCTCAATACCTTGCAGTTAAATGGATCATTTTCGAAATCAACACCGCATACCTCCATCACACAAATTATAGAGATGAAGTAACACGATAAAGTACAGATTTACATTTTCGATATGTTAATAATATGTTATTGCCCGACATATTTATTATTATGTTATGTTGGGATTTTTTTTATCTTAATAACGTTATTAAAGATTTGACATAATAATAACATATTATCTTAATAACGACCAAAAAAATCGCAAAAAAAAGTTTCATGTAAAAAACATGTCAATTTTTTTCAGACGAAAAAATGTTGAAAAAAAATGTGTCTTGCAAAATTTGACATGATTTTTGTATGAAACTTTTGAAGA